GGTTTTTATTCAGCGGTTAATTTGATGATTTATACATGTAAATGTAACAAAAATGGTATGAAAACATTAAAATTAATGTTTTGAAAGATCAAATATAACTACTCTTCGCCTTAGGATTTAATTGAACCAAAGGAAGGAAATAATTCGCTCAGACTGGGTTATCTCGCTTTCAAAATAATTCCAAATCAATCGAAACTATACATGTATAGAAAATTTTATGTTTTTTTTTTTAAAGAAAGCATACCTTCTTTTAGTCAAAAAACACTTTTTCCTTGAACAATTATAACGTCCCACACTTGTCATTAGTAGAAGCATTGTGGGACATGGCGCAATTAATAATATCGTAATAATTTGTTAATTTTTGTCTTATCAATCGCATTATTAATGTGATGAATTATTTTTTATGACCTTGAGACCAAGACACTACATTACAAATATTGTCAAATTGCCACTTTAAATTGTTAATAAAAGCATCAAAACAATCATCAAAATCATTAAGGATCTAAATACCCAAGTATGTACTTTAGAATTGTATTAACTAGACCGTTCATTCCACACTTTAATCAGATATATTTCCAAAACAAGCATTGGTAATAATATTCAAAGCTATACGAGGGTCATAATACACAGTATATCATAATACATATTGAGGTATTTGATTTTATTATTTCATATTTGAAAAGTTCTATCAAAGATCTCCTAAACTAAAGAAAATTTCATAATTTTCATATTGTCTTCGCGAAGAAATCCATTTTTAAAGTAAGATGGCCACTACACTGTGCTGAAATCAGTTTGTAAATGATCCAAGAAGATGAATTTAAGAGCGTATTTAAAAATTGCGGGGTAAATTGGGGTAAACCTTATATCTAAGATATGATTTTCTCATGTAGAAAAAAATATCTTTAACGCTGTATACTTTTCAGATAGATTCAATAATTCAGAAAGAAAAGAGTTCAAATATAACAGTCAATGCGGTCAATTGAAATTTGTGGGGCACAAAAAAATCGACTTCATGTGCCAGATGAAATTTGAAAATTTTATTTTCATAGAAAGACATTGTTAAGATACTGAACATTTAATTGTCAAAGCAATTTGCAGAATTCTGACAAAGGAAAAATATATATCAATCTTTCAATTAGATAGGTGCCCTATTTTTTCACAAATGCTCAGAAGAGAACATTCGTTAAATGTGCCAATGGTTTATATAAAGACAAATTTTTAAACAAAATAGAAGATTTGATTAACTTGCGTAATGTATGACGAAACATAGGTGCACTTTTTTATACACTGTAGTCGTAAAATAAGATTAATGATAAAAAAATGTGGAATCAGAGAAAATGGTGTCATTATATATGATAAAAGGAAGCAATGGCTCCAAATAAGTTTTATTAGTTTTTGTGTATTTAACGAGGTCAAATAAACATGTACATACATCCAAATGAAGATCTAGCAATGGTAAGTTTCATCTTCAAATTGCACAAAGGAAAGCTGAATAGATTTCCTGCAAAGGTTTAGTCCGAAATTTGGTAACAAGGGTTTTTTTCGTGTGCCTGACAACGCAGCTGCATATACGCTTAGAGTAATAAATAAGATTTTGAAGAAAAAAAGTATACAGGACTTTTTATTCACCAATATTAGCTTGATCGCAGCAACTGTGAGATCTTTTGATTCCCAAAACACATGAAAACAATCAAAGGAAGATTGTACAATCAAAGGAAGATTGGGTAATCAAATGGGAAATGATATTCATCAGTGTCTTTGGGGCATTCCTAAAGATGAGTATGCTGAGGATTTCTGCTCATAGATACAAAAATTTAAGGGTAACAGAAAATGCCCTGAGGGATTGAAACTATTAAGAATATGTATTTCGTACTTTTATTATTTTTAGATGACATGTTGCATTATTCATTGAACGACTCTCGTATTAGTGTTACAAGTGAATGTGCGCAGTAGTTTATGTTTTCAAATTCTCTATGTTTTTACGCTGCAAGGCAAACAGTTGATAGTTCTAGGAGTTGACAGTTTGACAGTGGACAGTTTGCTCCAGCAAACAGCTAAAAATGTTTTGTAATACTTTTTACCTTTTAAGACAAACCTCAAAGCGGTCAAATATCTGATCGACTTATTCACTGAGCAGTCTAACATCGATTACTTTGGACTACTCTGGAAACTTTTAAGTATAAAGATGTTATAAATGTATAAAAAAAAAATCTTATTTTTTACTTTCCAGGGAGAAATGCACCGATGCACTTGCAGTGTATATCATTCTGATTTTTTTTATTTATTCTAAAATATCTTCAGTTGCATAATTTGAATGAACATGTAAATTTTCAATATTGAAAGACAAAGGCGTTCGATCTTTATAACATAAAATAATACATGATCAGGAATAATTTATAAACACGGATATAAGCTGAAACGTTCGGAAAACATCTTACGTAAGAATTCCATCCAATACTATCGAAAAATATTAACTTCAAAGTCATTGTGTTTGTTCTTTTAATTTTCTTGATTAACATACCGGTATGGTGTAGCATAGTGTCTAAACAGTCGTTTATTCATTTTTAATGAGGAAGAAATGGAACATTCGAGGTTTACTATCCATTCACATTTATAGGATATGTTCCATGATTTTATCATTTGAACATCACATTTTACTACATTAATCAATCAAAAAGTAATCATATTCGACAATTTGAATTAAAATTCAGCTGTATGTTCATAGCAATATGCAAAGTATTGGATAACAAATCGCATCTATCGCTTTCAGATATACATGTTTGAGAAATATATTTGTTCTAACTTTGTGATCCAGTGCAAATAAAGTCGATTTTTATGACAAGGCATCAGGTGTAAAGACGAAAAATGGCCCCATCGAATAATGACCGGGGGTCATTTTTCAACGACAAAAATGACCCGCACTCGTAGAAAATCAATTTTTTGTAGAAAAAGAACCCCATGGGTCATAATTTCATATGTGCGTCCTATAAAAAAAAAATGACCCCCGTTGAAAAACGTCCCCTTTTAGAGTGATACAAAATTCAAAAGTTTAAAATGATGCAAAGCATCAGATCGCCAAAAAATATTTCATTTTAGTATTTTAAAGGAATTTCAAAACGAATCCATAGGAAAAATAACAAGAAAATGCATGTACAAGTACTATGCATGGTATATATCTTTATATAATTTTCAGTGTGATCAAACGAAGTAAACAAATTTGTGCATATAAGATTAGGACATCATTTGCCTTGTTATGTGATAATGACGATGTTCTAGATATCAAAATAGGAGTTTAAAGATAATTATTGTTTTCAAAACAATATTTACTAAAGCCCTTTTTCTTAAAAACTTGTACAAGTAATTAGTTATTTTAGGCACTAGTATTGTTCTTCATATCCAGAAACTTTTAAAAAAACGTTTTGATTCCATGCCTTATGCACGTTCATCTTGAGGAGCAATTCATGCAAACTTTATTTTCTATAAAATCAAAAATCAATGAATATCTGAGGAAAAATAAACGAATAAAAACCTAACCACAACCATTTAGACAAAGTATAAAGCAAATTTTTAAAACTTATTCATTACAATGAAAAAATAGCGCCTCAATTCCCCATGTGCACATTCTAACACAACCAACACTTAATTCTTGATCTGACACTTATTTTGGGTCTCACAGAGCAAAGCATAAATTTTGCCACTATAATCATATGGGAGGAGGCGGGGGGGGGGGGGGGGGGGTTATCATCTAGTGAGCTCATGGCTCATTTGATTGTCCATGGGTTGTTAAGATACTTTACAGGTACATGTGGGAAGTATATACATACATAATTAAAGAAATGATCTTCAATTAATTTTTCATACTTTGCTTTGACTCAGTATGAAGAAAACGTTACAAAATCTGATTTTCATATTAAAAGCGCTCTACAAATTATACCCAGAACAAAGTGAAAGAGTGGAATAAAACAAGATTAAAACTAGAGGTATTGTGAGCACTGAGCTCAGTAAGTGATATACACCCACCCACCCATCCCCGCGCCTCCCATATGATTATATTAGTAAAGCCCATGCTTTGCTCTGGGGAACACCAAATGAGAGACAGATCATAAAGTAAAATAAGAAGTGCACAATTACATTATGTACATGTAATAAAGAATGTGTGAAAGTATCATTAAGTTTTATTACACTGTCCAAAAAGTAAATTAGAGGATGCACAATGGCATTATGTAACAAAAAATCTGCATGTGAAAGTTGGGGATAATTATTCTAGGGGGTCATTTTTCTTCACGTGGGGGATTGCAAATTTTTAGGGTGATGACACTTTATCTACGGGCAAAAAGGGTCATTTTTCGACGTCGAATAATGACCGGGGGGTCATTTCTCGCCGTAGAATAATGACCGGGAGTCATTTCTCGCCGTAGAATAATGACCCCGGTCATTATTCTATGGGGAGCATTATTCGTCTTTACACCGGCAAATGTAATCAGTCATTTCAATTAATTTCATTATTTAAAACAAAAATCGTATCTGTTTTAAAAGCGTTTTGAGCATAGTAATCCTACACAAATCTTTCATAAAAGGATTTAATGAGATGGATTTTGTTAATCTTCTGACTTATAAATCGATTACGAATATCCAATAATTCAATTATTCGTTTTCTGACCATCGCCTTTGCCTTTCTCTATATAGTTTTAGTTGTAAAAAAATATACACTTTTTTGCATTGTTATTGATTTTCCAAATTAACTTCTTGTAGTATGAATAGAAAATATTTTATGTGAACAAAGATGTAATACAGATCTTATTTATGAATAAAAGATTGTGTATGCTTCATTACTGAACGAGAAATAATACTCAAATTTTAAAAGAAATTAGCCAGCTGAAAAAATATGAAACTTCAGTTGTTTTTAAAATAATTTTTTAGTCTGATTGTTTTACAAAAAATTGATAAAATTCTTCAATTTATGAACAATTTGAACAAAATAAATGAGATATAAAGGTATTTTAAATGAAATATTAAATTATTTGTGTTTAAATAAGAGATATTAAAGCAAAACAAAAACAGCTGTAGAAATTGAAAACACTTATTACTTACATATGTCATTCCAATACAAATGATGTACAAAACAGATCATTCATCTTAACAGAGAAATAAATACATACTTGGTTTTTAGTACCACCTTTTATCAATGTATCAACAGGAGAGAAGTTGTTTAAAGCACTGTATATTGTTAAACACAGATGAACACATAAGGCAAGACTGAGCTGTTGGCAAATAAATCCAACTCCTTCAGGGGGGCTGAGAAGTCAATATCATATGCTGGAGTATGTTTACACGAACTTTTCGATCATACCTCTCTTCCTAGCTATTGTCAACGCAAGAAGGAGTTGTTCAAGCACATGGAATGGATTACTAAAAACGCATTGTTTAGCCACTTTGAAAAAAGTGGTAAATCTGCAATGCATACAATTCAAAATAATAGAAATCTCAAGTATGTTGGTTGCTATCTGTCACAAAGAACGCGCTCCGTTCTTGACTAGGTTTTCTCAAATGTGTCATTTCGTCGATGCCCTCACTACTGTTTTGTTGATCTCCCCCATTCTTTTTGAGTGAATGTGATTTGATAGCATGTTGTGTCACCGTTTTACCTGAGTAAGAAGTAAAGCCTTCGATTTGTGGGCTGTCAATTTTTAAACTCTTCAAATATTCATCAATTGGAGGCACCCCCTGATCCGCGTCAAAATATTCATCATCCTCCATTTCACCCCTATTGTCTGAGTGTACTTTTCCTTTAATCTTGATTTGATCCCCGCTACCTGGGGTGACAGGGGCAACATTAGAGCCGTTGGTATCATTGGAGGCCAAGGTTTGATCTATAAAGTCCATTGCTTGCTGGGCAGCATTGATCGTATCGGCGATATCTCGCATTGACTCTTGGTAGAGATTACTGTATCCTGTATGTAACCCCTTAGAAGTCCCGTGCTGGACATTCCTACGCGCCGAAGAACTCCTGCTTAATCCAGATTCTCTGCTTCCAGGAATAGAATTTTCTTCAATAACATCACAGTTTATGTCTTGTCTGGACCACCGAGGAACCATTATTTCCTCTGATGATATGTTGCTTAGCTCCCTGATGACGTCATCACCCCCTGTTTTGTAAGCTATTCGAATTGACATTCGAACATCCGCCGGTGTTTCACTTGCTGCTTTAGTTTTTGTAGACCGAGTAAGATTACTTTCCTCTCTCTCCGTTATATCTGTTAGATTACAGACTTGTGGGAAGTTTCTGTTATTCTGTTTAAATATGGGCTGTGCGCCCGCATTGTGTCTTTGTAAGGCGGAAATAGATAATGGTAAAACGTTATCATTTTCCTCCATGTGTTTCAAATCGTCTGTAACAGTATTAAATTTTTGATTACTTGATTTTGTACTATTAGGACGAGAGTTTGACATTGTCAGATGACTACTTTCATCATCGTCAGACTCAAAATCATTATCGTTATCTCCTAAATGAAGCCGAGGAACACTTGGATTGGACATCCCTTTCTCAGTTATACCTGAACCCTCATCTTCGTCGTCAGCATCAGAATAAGTGTAATCTGAAAGATGATAGTGAGGGGTTTGGTAATCTGTCAATTCAGATATCCGACTTTGTGGAGGAGCAACAGGATGTAGGGAAGATTTCCTTGTGTACTTCTGAAGAGCATGATTCTGCATTGACCGGATGTTCATCATTTCTATAGAGTACTCATCGGTGGGCACGTGGGATCCTTTCAATTTAGGACGGCTATTATATTTCTGCAGGCGCTTCACACGTTTGTTATTTACAAGAGAGGAATGGACAAAATGTACATTTCGGTTGGCATCAAACATCTTTTGATATCGTCTTTGAAAGTCGTTCAAATCTTTTAATGTTTCTTCCTCAAGATTCTGTTGCATTCTAACAGGGAAACCATTTATCAGTGATACTTCACTGCGCGTGCTTTGGTCCCCAAGCTGACTGTAAACAAGATCAAATTCAGAATCGTAACCAGACGTTCGTGTATCAGTATCCGTAGTAATCGTCTTGATTTCGCTGAGGTCTCTTTCATCATTTCTCACTGTTCTTCGTCCTCTGTACTGCTTATTGCACTTTGAGCAGTTACGTTTTGTGTGTTTACATAGAGAATTAATGGGCATTGCTTGGAATAAATGGTTAGTTGCATTGCATTCATCGTATTTGGTACCCATCCCTAACTGGTAGGTTCTGCTCCTCAAGGTATATGATCCATTCTTGTAGACATTCATGATTGCATTCAAATCTGAGTCTGTGTGCTCTTTAACCATTTTCCTGTGCAACGAAAGGATGTTTTATATACTTAGCAGACAGCTGTAATACGACCCTATATTTCATTTGCAAAAGTATAAATATTTAGCTGTTCTGTGAATGCAACACTTCTGTATATTACTTTAATAGTAATAGTAACACATTCTTTTGCCGTAAAGAAAGTGCAACCGGAAACCAATTCTTTGTCTGACTTTTTTTACATTTATAAAATTGATGTTTCTTGAAACCATAAACATGTAGTTTTTTGAAAAGTTGCATGTTTAAATATAAAATGCAAGAAAGATCATATACAAACTTTATTTTGATAGGAAGATTGTCAAGACTTCGGCTGACGGCTTTATTTGTCCGTTCCCTTTCCTTCTGCAGTTTCATAATGTACCTCTGGGACACCTCCTGGCTGTTAAGTCCTTGTAATAGACCCTGTTTAGCAGACAGTCCTATTCGGGCGGGAGGAACTCGGAGGGAGGCGGCGGTGGGAATGGTCCCTCCCTTGCACAGGTCCTGCCAGGCAGACGACTCTTCTTTTGTAGCCACTTCCTCTCGGCTGTAAAGTAAAGAATCTGTATTGAAGTAATTTTCATTTCCAGGAGATTTTGAGGCACTTGTACCAGATTTTGATAGGTTCTCCTGAATAAACAAATCTCTTACTACTAGTTTAAAAGAATAGCAATGATTGTTCAAAACTTCCACCTATTTTGCTTGCAAACAACAAAGACGTTTTGGAACTGGCTATGCAACTTGCTGGTCAAAATTATTGTAAATACAGAATTACAAGAAATAATTTCTAAGATGGAACATTTATAATAATGAGGGTAATTTTAAAAGTTGTGTTAATTTTTAATTCTTGCAAGTTTTGTCAGTTGCAATGCATGGAAGATCTAGAAATATCCATTGTTTAGACAAAAGAAGCCTGTAAATTGAAACATTTTGTCTAGTAAATGGATTTTGGATCCTTCAAACTTTTCAAAAGAGTAAGCTTTAAAGGGTTTCTAAAAATGCATTGAAAACTTCGGTTCAAGAGAAATAAAATGATTATTGAAAACTGAAAACTCTATTAACACCCTTTTATCTTCTTAGCAATCAGATAATGCTTCTGGATACGAAGGCAATAGTAGCATTACATACCCTAACCAACAAAGACTCCTGAGAAAAACTCTTCCTCGATACTTTTGATCAATTCTATTGCTTGATCCACAAATCATCGCCATATTGCGTACCACAATAGACCTTTCTGCTATTAATTTAGAGCTGTTCGGAATCGTTATTTTTTCTCACCAATACTATTTTAAAACATCGACATCCTGGCTCTAAAGGTGCTTCTGAACAGTTAAAAACGAGACCTTTATAACTGAAATCGGAAGTCTGTTTTGATCCTACGTCTTTTCAGGTCCAAATTAGTTTTCTTGTGTATTAATGAGAAATTTATGCAGTTTTCTTGTCAACATTTTCATTGAAATTAATAAACATGGCTTAGCGAAAAATCGATGGCAAAAGAAATGCCTTCACCTTTATTTGGAAAAGGTCCGCTAACATGTTTTGTTGTACTCTTACTTCTGACACTGCCTGTAAATCCCAAGTTCATTTACTTGTTAAATACCTTAACTATACATTAATTCGTAGTTCACTAATGCGAAAGTCGCGACTTCAGGATGGCTATCATGTGCAATTTTCTGCAAACTCATGCATTATGCAATACAATCCAAATAAATAAAACAATGCTCCAGAAACTTATATTTCAATCAATCTTGAAGGATGTAAAGAGGAAAAAAATGACGTAATTAATTACCTTTAAAGACTTTGTGGACATATTTTGATTAGATAAGATTTTTATTCATCGATACTGCCTGACAGAAGATTGCTGACTCGTCATTTTGGAAACGTTAATGCCTTATTTTGACACAGACAGACTTTAGATAAACATCATATTAAACATTGAGATATTATCAGTATATATATATATATAGGTAAATCTTTTTAAAAAAGAAACACGAAAACCTTTAGTTTAGCTTAAGCGCTTTCATTTCAAATCTTCAGAAGCTTTATAATAAGTAACATAGCAACATAACGTCATAACGTCATAATAAGCGGAACATTACATACAAACGTCTATTGTGACGTCATAGTCAAACTTTGCGGGAAAACTGTAGAATGAAAATTATAAGTACAATTTTTACAACAATTATGCTCAATTGTTCAGTCTAGGTTTGAACACATGTATAAAATGTTTTTCTTTCTCACGTCTCTGAATATCACTTTCACTTGAAAGTTTGTAAAAAGGAAATATAGTGAATTGTTTATTTCCACAAGTATCCAAATGTTCACTCAGAGGGATTTGCCGATATTCCGGAGAATTAATATGTTGTCGGTGGACACGCACCCGGGCACGCAATTGATTGCTCGTTTCCCCGATATAAAATTCTTGGCATCCAGCACACGTTATTACATATATTACATTTTTAGTGGCACAAGACATGTTTGCATTGACTGTGAATTGTCTTCCTTTAAAGTCATAAGTTGATCCTTCCATTATATGTGCACACGTCCCGCAACGCGCGTCTGCACACTTAGTCACTTTGTAACTATTATTAAAATGGGATGAACACAGAATTCTTCTAAGATTTTTGGGCTGTCTTCTGCTGTTAATGAATTTTACATCTCTATATATTTGTTGTGTTGACCGGTCCGTTTTCAGAACGTTGTTAAGTTGGTGTACTACGGAGGTCAAATTATGGTTCCTTGGATTGTGGGTATGCACAAATGGAATTATATCCGTTTTATTTTCCTGGGTTTTTGTAGACAGTAATTCTGACCGTTCATATCCTTTGGCTTTCAATATCCCGTTATCTATCAGGTTTTGGGGATATCCCTGTTTTAAAAGGTAGAACTTGAGTTCTTTCAGTCGGATATCTCTTGTGATTTCGTCACTAACGATAGCACATAAACGTCTTGCCAGATTGTATGGAATTGCTGTTTTTGTGTGATGAGGGTGACAGGATCCGAAATGTAAATACTGGTGGGTGTCAGTTGATTTATAGAAGATATCTGTTGAAAGTTTGGTATCTTCTTTAATGACAAGAACATCAAGGAAAGGTAATTCCATATCGCTGCATTCCATGGTAAATTTAATACTGGAATCTAAGTCATTTAATAATTGGTGGAAAATTGATAATTTCTCAATGATGTCATTCCAAAGAATGAAACAGTCATCTAAAAATCGTTTCCAATTTGATGTTATAGCTTTAGCGTCCTTTTCTCCCCATAGAGTGACAAGTCGTTGATGGAGTTTTTGTTCAAGGTATCCCAAAGTTAAGGTGGCATACGTGGGAGCCACTTTTGTTCCCATCGCTGTTCCTTTGGTTTGAATAAAATGCTCTATTCCGAAGGCAAATGTATTGTTTTGAAGTATAATTCTTAATCCTTCTAAGATGAATTCTTGTTCAAAACGATCCTGTAGTAAGTGTGGGTATCTATCAATCCAGTATTTAACCGCTTTTATACCCAATTCCACGGGTATATTTGTGTATAAATTCACGACGTCGAATGACACGAGTTTCGTATTAGGTTGAATATGTTCTGGTAGGTGGTTGATAAAATCTATATCATCTCTTATAAAACTAGGAACCTTTTCACAATAAGGCTTTAATAAAATGTCTAACAAGTGACTCAGTCTTTGAGTTGAACAATTAGGCCCCCCTACGATTGGCCGAAAAGAGAGATCTTCAGGATTTAGACAGCAAATATATTCTCCTCTCTGAGCCTTTATGGCGTTTTTGATTTCTAATGACTTGTGTACTTTTGGTAATCCGTAAAATTGACTCTCTTTTGTTTCAAAGTTTGTGAGGTAGTCTTTCTCCTTAGCAGTTAAATCTAGATGGCCCACAGACAAGTTGTTTTATCTTTGATAAAGTTTTTGTCTCGTGATTTGCATTAATACTCCCATAGTAGTTAGGGTCCTGTAGCATATTCAAAATCTTGCGTTCGTAATATGTTTTATTCATGATGACTACTCCGCCTCCTTTGTCGGCTTCTTTGATAACGATACTTTCGTCATTATGTAAGTCATTTAGAGCTTTTTGCTCTTCTTTTGTGAGATTAGATCTAATATTCTTTTTAATATTAGGTAGGTTTATATTATCTAGGGTTTCACATACCGTATCTAGAGTTCAATTTCTACCTCGTTTTGGAATAAAGTGGGATTTATTTCTAACCATATTTTCACTATCTTCTGTTGATTCGTCGTTATCTTCGTAAAAGTATTCCCTTAGTCGTAGTCGCCTTGTATATTCCTTAACGTCCGTTTTATATATATATATATATATATAGGAAGATGGGTCGTTAACACATACATAAAAATTAAAGAACTGAGAAGGATTATATTCCAATTATTAAGTGGAATTGTGATATGAAAAAATGAAATTGTTTATAGTTCTTCTACTAAATGTGCATAATCATCCTTAGGAATGTTTTCCTTTTGTTTTCAGAGGAATATTCAAAATTCGACTCCTTTATTTATTTGGAGAAACCTTTTGCCCTATCTCTGTAAAATTTAAAGACCACCTTAGACAGAGTACTGAGATTTGAACCTTGACGTGTACATCTATCAAATGAGGACAATGGGGGTTAAATGGCCCGCTTACATAGAATAATATACCCTCTTCTTATCTGGTACATGAAGTGCATTATAACTGACCTTTACTCAGAGATCAAATAAAAGAATATCGTTTGATATACCCACAATTCGTGTGCCGTACTTATTGCGTGGTATCCAAAGTGCAGCATGTTTAAGCAACCATATAATTTAGAATTTTGTTTTATTATAGTCTTGAGTATTGGTCATTATTTTCTGACAAAGGCTTGGTGCATTGGGTGATTTGTCAAAAAGTCTTTTAAAACATTGCAAAGCATTTACGGGTTTTATTTCACTTTCTCCTAATCTTAATACATTCACTTTAAATGCCTTTGTCATTAATTTCATTATGTACGTGTTGGTTCAATAATACGCAGTTCCAAATATTAATCTTTTGATAAAGTTAACCATGTTCATTGTAACGAGAAACAAGTATGTAATTAAAATAAATATATCCAAAAGTGCATACTCATATGTACCAACGGTATTTATTTATCTAAAAAAAAATTCGGAAATGTACACGAAAAAAAAAACTTAAAGAAATTTGAGAGATATTTCAAATTAATATGCATGGATGACTTCGTAGAGAATACCTCGGAATGGAAGATTTTTTTTCTTGTTTATGATTCTGAATTTGCTGTAATTTTTCCTAGCATGATACCTAGCCAGTTCTAAAACATTTGTGTAACTACAGAAAACTAAAATGTATGTGTGTAACTTATATGTAACAAATTACATATATTGAATTATCAATTCAATACATAATGAAGGTTACATAGAAATAATGGGAAACAAAGAAATCAAACAAAGCAATCACTGACATCATAAGTACAGTTTAATTTATATTATATAACCAATAACAATGAAAAAGATGGTATATGAGGTAAATTGTAAGATTTGCCAGATAATTTGGATCGAACCTCAGCCGATCAAAACAGAATACAATGATTGAAACTATTTTGACACACCTTAAGTGATGTAATTTAACTATTATGACAAATAGAAAACATTTTTCATGCCAAACAAGGACTGGCGCTCTAAATACTGAAATATAAATTGTACCCCAGGAGATTTTCTCTTCAAAATCATTAATTTTTTTCTTACATTCATTTTGAATGATATGTGAATATAACGAAGAGAAAACGTGCTCAAAATCCATATTGAAACGATAATCATTCTGAGCAAAATATACATATATAGCTTGTAAAACATCAGAGATGAGATCAGGTGTCATGGAGGAGTGACCATCCCCTGTGCTATCGGTCACATCCACAGTGTGGCTTTTAAGCATGATCAGGTGTAAAAATAATGGCGTAATAATTTGTGTACATGAGAGAAATTAAAATGTAATGATTCTAAGCTTTCGAATAATATTATATTCTTTTTATCCAGTGCCATATGAAAGTGAAGGGCTAGATAATTTTAAGTTTCTCAAGGCTAATCCTTGTAAATCTCATCTTGAACAAACTTTTCACATTACTCTTCATGCACTGTGTTATATATTTAATGTTCGCAAGTTATTTGTTAAACAATGAGGTCAATAGTCACTTTTGATTTACCTGAAAAACACCCACAACATTCGTTTTTTTTCCTATCTGTGCTAACATTTGTGTATGGATAAACGCCTAATACCATATGTTTTTACAGAGAGAGAAAAAATCAGTATTAAAATTTATATTTCAAAGGACATCAACAAACTTGAAAGTAGGTATTGGTATATCTATTCAAGCAAGAGGTACAATGCTCGTCCGACAGAAGAATCTTTTGCACTTACTATAATAACAAGTTCATCTTACCAATCATTCACATAGAATTTTTAATATACCACACCTGATCAATCTTTTTCTTCTTTTTTACTAAACAAATGTTTTCAGATTGAATAACAAAGCACATTTCTGGGTTTAAAACACGGAATTACTTTTGTTCAATATATATAACACAGTCATGTATATGTGTCAATTTGATGCACCAGATGAAAAATGAAAAACAAAGAAAGGTAATTATACAGGCAATGGTAAACATTGAATCCATTTATCAGTGTCATGCGTTATATTTCAAAGGCAATTGAAATGTGTCACCTTATTTAGATTTTTTTCTAAAAAAAAAAAGTTTCACAATATCAGGGGGAAAATAAAGTAGTTTCAATTGGAGATTTCAAATTTAAATATTTAAAAAAGAACTACTTAAATACCTGTATTTATGCAATGAAATATGAAGTGCTTTTTGTTTATCTTTTTTTAAATGAATTGTTTTTAAAAAGCATCAATTAAAACTATGTTTGATTTTCTTTATTTCACGTTTCTATTCAAGACCTAAATTAATTTTTGATAACTTCTTCTATGAATGTAACAATGGGAAAAAGCCTTTGTCTATTATGTTTTCACTATATGAAAAGGTAAATAAAATAGAAATTTATCAAAAATGGTACTATCATAGCAAAAAAAAAACATATGATTGAGAAATTAGGAAGCATACATGCAATAATGATAGCAATATGTTACAACCATTGTGGAATTATGTGGCACCATGATACTAAAATACTTGATTTACATTAGAAAGCATACTTACACACTGCAACACAGACAAAGAGTGTTAATGACATTTTTATATCGCTGCTCAGACATCTCACACAGGGACACACTTAGCAGGTAATCATCATCTCCCTAAATTATTGTTCTCCAATACATAATATTCAATGTCCAGAAAAACAAACTTGATCAGTAAATCCCTTGGTGTTTTCGTTGGAGTGTTTCACACCTAATCTCATATTCTTAAACCATGTACAAATGTGGAACTATATAAGCGCCATTGTTTAAATCAAAGACTCGTTTAATAAGTCTTTACATTTCAAAGATATTAAATTTATTTGAGCTGGGCTGCCTCGATACTTGATCGATGTGTAATTTGTAACGTATTTTATTTCTTCTGGCGTTAGAGCTTAGTTGGTCAATGATCAGAGAGGTTACAGACTTAGAATTATAAAAATCGATACATTCAAATTTATCTTTGGGGAAGCAAATATTTAATCCATTATTCATAAAAGAAAAGTTTGTTTTATTATTTATTTCACCTTCAATTAGCTTTAATCAAGAACTAATTAATTTGTATATTATAAAGTGTTTCAAACATTTGTACTTAACGGATAGGTCGTTAAATGCATGAAGGCTTTATATGCTTGCACACAGATTGCATTAAGAAAAAAAGTCTTCATATGAAAGTGCTTTAAATTTACAATGATAGATTATGTAACTATGTTTATTAAAAATCAAGTGCTCAGTTACCCAATTTTTAAAAATTCTAGACGATAATTGATTTTTAGCTTTATGGGCTTTTATGCATTTTTTTTTCAAATAGAGCTCTTGATATTAAGTTATTGAATATCTTTGTTTAAATAGTTCAAGAAAAAAACTGACTTTATTTGATTCAAGTCAATTTAACAAATTGGGAGGATTACATGATTTAAATTTTCATCATCTTCATTGTCGCTCGGTTGATATTTTATAAAAAGGGATTTAGCTTTTAATTACATATTTGTGCAACTAAACTATCCTTCATTTATGTGCAAGTGCACAGTACTAATTTCATCCTTGATATAACAAATTTTACCTCAAACTTACCAAAAGCAGTACTTTAAACGTATAGATTTTTTTTTCTTTTTTGTAAATTCTGTTTTCCAATTATTTTAACATCTTGTAAATAAAATCCTAACTGAAATAGATAATAAACAATAATTTAATTAAATTTTCTATGTATACCTTTCACTGTTCTCTAGTGGGCTCTTCCAAGGGCGATCTATGGATGTTGTTCTTGGTGCTTTGATTCCCGCCATTTTCAGAAAAATGTCCACCGAATAAGAACACCAGTCTTGTTCAGAGAGTAAACAAAGTCAGCTGGAAATACTAGCCTCAGAATTCAATACATCACGTCAATACCCGGCAAACATTACTTAGTAATAAGATTTCAGGTATCTACAGATGTCTGCAATGTCTTCAGACAGGTGACACGACGCACAGAGTCATCATGATCAATAATAAAGTCAATGTATATAATATAATATTTAGGGTGTAACAATAACTAAAGACCTGGGGCATTTGATTTCTTGCCAAAAAAATCGGTTCCTGATCAGATATATAAGATATTGTCTACCACAGCTGTGCTAAAAGGAACGGCGGACAATAGAAAAGAAGATTCCATTTTTGTGGTAAATGTTTGAGCTTATCGCATTGTTAATGATTTCACCCCTTAAATAGGTCCTGACATCACTTTAAGACAATCATGACGTTTAAGGTTCTTGCTCTTTGAAAATCATATCGATGTGAAAGGAAAAATCGAAGCAGTTGTTTTTGAAAACTGTCATTTTTAAAGACATGAAAACAATTTGGGTTCACGGTCGGAAAGGCAAGGGTTAAACACAATACAGAGAATAATGAACACGTACACCCCCAAATATTGGATGATTGAATTACATGTACATGAAGTAGATCAACTATTAGAAATTCATTTACGTTATTCTTTTCGCTTGATATAAATACTTCAGCTTTTTACAATCTGGAATGAAATGAGTCAAAACATTATGAAAAATAACTTTTGAACATTAGGTACTCGGGCTTTTTTATTTTTATTAATATGTATTTCTTGTGACAAGATTTTCCTTTTGGGTACCAACATATTTTACCTCCTGACTTTAGTGATTGACCTCTATACGTTAGCATTTTTTCCCAAAGTTTAGCCTTTACTTGACCATAAGTTTAAACACTTAGGGTTTGCCATTTGAGAATTTAAAACCTTGGCATTGAGCTACCATTCAGGGATTTGGTATTTCTAAAAGACATCTTGGATTCCTCGTCTTTCAAAGCTGGGAAATAGTATATTACGCCTCTTTTTGTGACATTAAATCTAACGTTAGAGGGAAACTGTAATCATCAATACTTCATTCTATTTAGTTGAGTACATGTATATAATTATATAATTATTTTGATAGATTGGACGGAATACATAATATCAACTTTTCATTATCAATTCATGACTATATTATAAATAATAATTTGAAATATCGATAGTTATGAAAAATTAATATCCGCTTTTCTATGCTTATTTGGCGTAATGACGGGTCAACTTGATTATTTTTTGCAAGACTTTAAAAACTTAAATGTCTGTTATATAAGAATAGAGTAGGAAATTGACGACCCAAACATTTTATGAGACAATAAATGTCTGCCGCGCAAAAAACATAGATGTTAGTATTTAATTTCAATAGATTTCCGTCTCTCTTTATAATTAAAACGACATGTCTGCTAGCATAAATGTAAAGCAGTTTTGTTATTCATTTATAAACAAAGTAATTTCCAATGACAGATTATTACAAGTAGTACATGATTTTTAGCTGTGTGAGTAACATATGATGGGTACAGTTCCTTGCTGAAGAACAATCTAGCTATGTTTGTTTATAGTTTATAATTTACAGAACGCATTAAAAGGATGTGAAACTAAACGTTCATAACAAATTTTAACTGGCTGTAAAAACAGTCAGAATCAATAAGTCAAAATAAGTCAAGGGAAGTAAATTTACGAGTTCCATTTTTATTCAAAAAGCAATTGTTAATAATATCAAAAAGCCTGGACTTTAATTTATGTTTGGAAATGGTTTTATATAAAGGTGAAAAGTCGTAATTTTTTCATGTTGTTGATTTTGGTAAAATGGAAATTGTTATACATATGTATATATCTGATTTACACCACTTTTCAAATATATTGTTGCATAGATTCTCCTTCAAGTAACGAGGAAAGAAAGAGGCTTCAGTTGGTACCTAGATTTTACTGGAACCAGCTATGTATCTTTATTATTCTTTGTTTGTTAGGATTTTTAGTGACGTTCCGTAATCCAATATAGATAAAGTATATAGACAATAGACAATATTGAATTTCCAATCAAGGGCCCCCAGAAAGGCATGAAAGATACATTAGTAGACAAAGACAGTACGGTATCAATAATGACATAACAAAAAATCAAGCAAACTATGTAAAAGTAAAAAGTCATACTAATCAAGTTGTTGTGCTTTATAATGTCATATTAAATGTTCAGAAAGGTAGTATGAAAGTTGAAGTAAGACATTCATATTTTCACATGTAATGATCCAAAGATACTTTTTGAGATCTATCTATGCTATTAGAATTTTTTTTATATTTCTGTGCTTCATTTAGAAGTTTGGCTCTTCTTTCTTTGTAAAAAGGACAATCTATGGTTAAATGTACATGTATTTCGTTTTCCACTACATTACATTTTTCACATATTCTTTTATCTCTTCAAATCCAGTATACGAGGGGTTATCAAAAAGTTCGTGGACTAGCGCCATAAAATTAAAACCGCTCAAGGTAAATCAATGAATTTTTAAATATCTAGTAAGCATCATCTTTTCTATCCAAAGAATAAACCGCAAATCATTAATTTTATTTTTTAATAAATTACTAATGTTTTTCTAAGCAATGGTATGTCCAAGCGGCGCAACCTCGAAAACGACGTTTTTTCGACATATGTATAACTGAGAAAAACTCATTTGATATGATTATTTGACATCCAAAATTCCCGTTAATTCAGGTATGTGTCGGGACACAATTGTTCTATAAAATATTAAACTTTCACTTCATTCTGGACGTTCTTTGAAATTTTATCGTAAATTTTACACGGAATGTCTAAACAAATTAGGCCTTGAAAATGACGTCAAAAGGCGGAGGGGTTTCCGTTTCCAACATTATATTAAGTTTTGCCCCTGAAAAAACTAGTATAGACCTCAAATATGTTGAAACTGGCTACAGAGAAGTAAAATACATCCATATTACTTGTCTTTTAATGTCAAAATAGATTCAGAGAGTAAAGGGATACACAGTTAATGTCGATTTGCAGTCAAGGTGTGAAAAATCAATCCCGTCAAAAATGACGTTGATCATGTGTTGTAGATATTGAACTCCCAAAAGCAAAATATGCCGGCACAATCAAGCGCGGATGTTTCCCAATGTCTTAATCCATCTGGAATATTATATTCATTGAAGGCCACTGTTAATGATATTGTAAATTCATAAAAACAAGGCGGGTTTAAGTCCTTACTCAGCTCCAGGGAATCTCATCAAAAAAGTGTATGAGGTAGAAGATGACATTGAAAAAAACAATGACGTTATCGGACGTCGTGAAAATAAACGACGACAGCGCCGGTGTAACGTTGAATTTTGACCCGGGTTGAAAATTGACCCGGGGGTCATTTTTCAACGTTGAATACTGAGACCAAAGGTGTTGAATTTAGACCCTAATCCGTTGAATACTGAGCCGGGTCGTGGAATTTTGATCATGAAACCGGTTCAAAATTCAACAGCATAAAAACATATATTTATGACTAGGTTTTCACAACTGTGATTTAATCCATAGATATGAAGGGCCGTTTTGGTATTTACTGCCAAAAGTAATATCAACTAATTGAATAGGTGATATCACCTATTCATTTGGTGATATCACCTATTCCAATAAGTGATATCATCTATTCAGATTTTGAATAGGTGATATCACCTAATCGAACAGGTGATATCAATAATTCGAATAGGTGATATCAATAATTCGAATAGGTGACATCACCTATTCAAATAGGTGATATCACCATTTTTGAAAAGGTGATATCACTTATTTAAAATGGCAGTGAATACCAAAACGGCACCCCATATATAAGTATATAACAGCACAAAGACTTGGGATACTATTTATAGAATCTGAAATGCATTTCGACTTGATGTTTCTTAAAATGGAGATAATTTTCTGTAAAACAGAAATAGTACTGATTTCACAATTAAAGATAATTAAGAATATGGCTTGATGTTTCTGAAAAAAAATACTACAAATTGTAATTAATATTTTTCATGTTCAGTAATTGATAAGATGTAACAATACCTTGAAGTCTTGAATTAGGATCTACATGTACTTTATATACATAAACATATTGGATATGTTTGTCAAAAATTGATACAAGGCATAATCTATGTACAAATAATATAGCAAATGTAGCCTTTTTTCGGTCGTGCTCGGTCGATATGCTTTTCTGTGAAGTCGATAAATCTATGAATCGACCTCATCAACGGGCTATATTTATATATTCAAATAGGTGATAGCAGTTTTTGGTATTAAATACCAAAACGTACTCATATATAGACGTCGGGAACTGGGAGAAGAATCAGAATATATTTTTAAAAACTTTATATGACAAGAAGAGAACACTTGCTGTGGGCTCAACTCAGCATTTAGATACACCAGTGACGTATGATCAAGTAACAATAGTTACTTTAGTTCTTATGTCGACTCTATTTACATTGTGTATCCGAGTAAACTTTAAATTAAAGTCACCACTGAATGTCCACAACTGTTTCATGTTTGGAGGTTTTACTATCTATAACTGAAACTATACTGTATAAGAAAAGAAATTTATGATTTCTTCTTAATCTTTTCCAAAGTGAACTTTCCTTATTTGTAAGTAATGTTCCACTATTACATGTACCTGTTTATGGTAAAACGTATACAGCGTTGCATTATTATACTTTTATGTTATCAAAAATTTTAGTTTCTTTTTCTAAATCATGTCATTCCTAATCATATGATTCCCATTCAATTAGTTGTTAGTCTTGTGCAAAATAATGTTATGTCTGTTCGAGAATTCATTATCTTTAAGTTGTAATTCTATTCGAAAATTTGTGATTTATTATTCGATAATTTTTTTTCATTTCTGTTCGATAATGAAATGATTTATATTCGATAATAATGTTAAATGTGACATTCCTATTTAATTGAGTTTACAACCAGTTCTAGTTTTGTCATATTTCTCAGAATGCAATTATTGAAAAAGAATAAGAAAAAAAATCGCATAGGGGAGATAAAATTATGCAATAAGAAAAGAAGTTTATCGAATAGGAATCGTATTTTTACGAATAGAAATGGATGCTAGTATATTTTCGAAAAACTTTATTGCAAATAAACCAAATAATTATGGAATGAGAATAATAAAATTAACGGATAAATAGGAACGACATCGAATAGGAAACGCGTGTTTTCGAAAAGTGTGATATTATGATATAAGAATCATATTGTCATATTTCCTCCAATGGGAATAGCATTTTATCGAATACAAATTACAAATAATCGAATAGAATTAACAATTAATCGAATAGAATTCATATTGTATCGAATAAGAATGATATGTTTTAGAATAAGAATAATCTTATTCTCAAGGTTATGCTCTGAAAGCGATCATTTTTTAAGCCGAGGCAAGCTTCTGACAGATAAGTTAATTGCTACAGGGATTTCACCAACCTTATTTAAAGTCAGCATTACTTACATGCTATGGTCGCTATATTGATTTTTTTCACAAATATAACCTATCATTGGATTCCTTTTGGCCTATGTGTTTCATTCTAATTCTTAGGCTGTTAATTTTTTCACTTTTTATACTGAATTTGACTAGATGGGATGTTCTGCCCACCTGATCAATATACATAGGGCTCACTGTCTAGACACCAGATTTCCAGGATTTTTGTTTTATGCCATATCATAGTTTTGTAGCTATTTATGGATGCTATGGATTTTAGAAAGTATTGTCAAAAAATAAATTTGGCATGCTTGAAGATAACTGAAATTGTGTACTGATCAAAATGTACATATATCCACGGAGTGATAGGTTTATTTCTATTATTCTTGAAAAGGGAAAAGATTGAAACCGAAATAAATATAGAGATACTGGTAAATCCCGTAAAATAACTACCCACCTAAAAATGTTAAAACTTTGAGGTGGGATCAATATTCAACAGGGTCAATTTTCAACTTGTTGAGGTCATCAGGGATAAGAAAAAAATTATCAAGCTGTTGAAAAATGACCCCGGGTATAAATTCAACGACTTTTGGTCTCAATTTTCAACGGTGAAAAAACACCCTTGGTTCAATATTCAACGTTGAAAAATGAACCCCGGGTCAATTTTCAACTCGGGTCTATATTCAACGTTACACCGGGTGATCATATAATGTCGTTTTCATTTTATAATAATTTGGCAAATAATGAACGTATCAGGCTAAAATTTTCAACATTTCTCTATTTTGTGTTGTTTTATGTTCCATATAAATTTTGAAAGCACAGACTACATAGTACTAATTTTATAGCCTCAGTCCACGAACTTTTTGATAACCCCTCGTATATCTACCAGTTTTAATTTTAAGTCTGTGAGAAGATATTCTCTATCGGGTTATATGCCTCTTCTAAAGTCAAAGTTATTTAGTAATGTTAAGTATTTTTCACATTTTGTTGTTGGAAATATTTGAAAAAATTTCAAAACTGTATGATTTTGAAGAATTTCCTCTTTATAAAGGGACCTCGTAGAATGAAAAGTTGGATAGTCCTGACCACTTAAGAGCAGAAATGCATATACATGGGTCGTGTACCTGATGATAAAGAAGTATTTAGATTTATTCCCCTTTGATATTAAGGTAGATATAATAGAGCTCTGTAATATTAATAGGGGTATATACGGCTTGTTTATCCTAAACAGCTTTTGTATTTTGAAAAAAAAACTGCTACTTGTAATTTTAAAATCACCTTTCATTTTTATTTACCTGAGGATCTCAAAAGAATAAGCCCTTAGAAGTTTGGTCTTTTTTAATGTTATTTTATTTATTATTATACTTTTGAATTTTAATATTCGTGATTAGTGGGCACTCATATGATATTATCTGTGATAGCTGGAAGTAAATTTATAAAGTGGATCGAGGTTGAAATATACTTATGGAGTATATTGATTAAGGTTCAGCATTGTAGTTTATATTAAACTAAAGGATGTTAAAATGAGTGGAAATTGGATTCCGATGTGGTCTAGTGGTTAGGATTTCTGGTTTTCACCCAGACGGCCCGGGTTCGATTCCCGGCATCGGAACACATTTTTTTTCCATCTATACTTTTCTTACGTTTGTATTTAGTTTTAAAAAATTGAAACAAACATTCCAATGTCCTTAAGTTTTTCTTTACATTTGCTTAAAAGAATTTATATTTCCTTAATTTTACTATTTACCGGTATTGTTCTGCCGGTGCTACACCATGTGTGATCTCAACGAAATGTGATTTTTACTGTTATGATAACAAGTTTTTTTAAGTCCTTCAGACATGTAAATTTCTTATTTCAATAGATTTTTTGTCTTTATTCTCCGAATTTAAAACGTCATATACATGTAAACAAATCACACTCTTCTACCACAAGTTACATCTACATGTACGCTGCATTAATTTGCGCTCATCCACACATGACGTAAACTACGTATTAACATATCCTGTGTAGGGTTACATGTACTTTAGATCTGTCTCCCATGCACGATCACTAAGCCTCAACATACATAAAGTATCTAGTTTCTCATGTATACAGTTTTGGGTCAGCATATAGAAAAGTGGCCTAGAACTCGATTTTCCTGCCATACAGGTTTTCCTATCTCTGTTACAGGTTCTCTATAATCCTCTTAACGGCATCTGAATTACCTCTCCATTTGACGATCACTTGGATTCCTATGCACGTCACAGACATCGATGTTTTGTTCCAGATGATCAATCTTTGAAGGTCCGTAATATAAGTGTCCCACCTCTCACCAGCTTTGGCAATTTTGTAACACCTGGCTTCCATCTACTGTCTCTCAGTCCAAATCTGAGTGATAAATCACATTCGATTTATCCTCTCTTTGTTCTCAGAGATTGACATGTAATCTCAAAGTAAATCGGATAAAACGTACACACATTTTATCTACTTCACAAGAGAGTGCTCTTCTACAGATAGGTCAGGCATTTGAAATGTCTAAAAAATAAATTTATTTCTTGATAAATTAATATAAATAATTACATACAAATACAGACAGTATTTAAGGCCTTAAAGGTTCGAATATCTATCGCAAATGTCCAAAAGAAGTTCCCTAGACTTTTCATTATAATTATAAGAAGAGACTTTTTGTGTGAAAAAAAAAAATGTCTAAAGGAAATTCGATGAAACTTTTTTGTCAATGTTTCAATTCATGCCAATCAAATAGAGAAAAAAAAGTGTTAATTTGAGGTATTTTAATATGAAAGTTATTTCAAATTATGTGCATGATAGACCCTATATTTTTCTTCTTTTTTCATCTTTCTAAAAGAGAACTAAAAAGAACAAAAAATGTAGGCAAAATGATATTGAATTTATGGACAAAATCTTTATAAATTTTGGGATTATTTGTCATTAAATATGTCGAAGTATTTTAGTCTATTTGAATTTGAACCGGTTAAATTTTTCATAAAAGGTAGGTTTGCTTGGTAATCAAATAGTTCAAAATCAAAGTGATAAAGTTCTGTATATTCCTTTATAATATCTTTAGATATTTGACTGAAAGCTTCGACTTTTGCTTCTACTCTCTGCTCTTTTAGCTTTGTACGATTTTGTATAGATTGGATGATATTAGTAATTTTATCAACCACTTCGGGTTTTGAGACGTTTTTCGCTCTTTCTGATGTGAACGGCATTTTTACTTCTATTGGTATTATGCCTCGAATCTGAAGATCTCGCCAGAACCTCAGTAGTGATGTATGGAATGGTTCACATGATTCTGTTTTTGTCCTGAAGGCAAAGACTCGTGCTAGCTGATTTTTAGCTATACTCAAATCAGATTCCTTTTCAAAATCTTCAAATGAAAGTTCAACATCAAAAGCTGAATTAAAAGAATCCAGTAAAAATGTCACATCCTCTCGAAATGTTTCCATTTTTCCGATGAAATCATAATTGATATTACACGGAAAACAATGTTCGTGCATAGGGAAGAAATGTCTGTCCCGGAATTGTAATGATTTCTGAGAGATGATCAGGTATTTCATGAACTCTGGAAATGTAATATCGTGACCACATTTCAATGATAATTCACTAGCGTTTGATCCTCTAACCATTCGCACAACATGTCGTCCAGTAATCTTCCAATAAACCGGATTTGGCGCGAACAGTTTGTCTACGTATCCAGAGAGGGCTCGCCCAAATGGCTCTCGAACAAACATAAACTTTGGTGATTTTGCCAGACAATCAATGAAATCATCCGATCTACCATGGAGGATACTTTTACCTTGCAAAACTCGATGCTCTATTCCAGAAAATAGTCTTTTCATTGTTTTTCGGAGAAAAGTAGACCCCACTTTTTGTATTCGACAATATAAGAATCCTAGAGGGTCATAAAATGCTATGTTATTGTTCAGTTTGTTGAAGAATAACCTGGAGGTTTGGTTTGTGTGAAATCGATTACAGCTGTTCCTTACTTTCTCTCTGCGTTGCTTCTGGACAAAATTCATTTCAGTTTGAAATATCTAAAAAGATTTAAAAATAAGATCAATGAACATGAGAAACAAATTTCAAAAAGAAAGAAAGAATAATTACTATTTAGATTTTCAATAGAGTTAAGGCGTTTTATTCTAAATTTTCGGTGATAAAACGGACTTTGACCAAGATATGCTTCTAAGACAAAGCCGTCTCCTGATTTTTCAATAGCATATTGCTATTGAAGATACATGGGTTTTCTAAATTATTTAATAAATGTGCATTTCTAGGAACGGGATAAAGTATTTGAATTTTAAAAGAAAATAAAGAGACTGTTAATTTTGAAGTGTTAACTTCATTTGCGACAATATCACGCCATAAGCTACGGAGTGCTAAATTTTGGTTTTCTCTGTTTTTCAGAACTTCGGAATAATTCTACTTGATACATTTATGAAAAAAATTAAAATTGCACGCAAATTTGTGTAGCTGTATTCATTACATTCATAGGAAACACGAAAAATTAATTATCAATTCTGACCTACTACATGTACAGCTGTAGTATTTTAAAATGTTGAAAAAAAAATAAACTTACTATAAACCTAGCTCCAGCAAGTTTATTTAGTCGACATAAATATTTTTGACAAAATGTTTGCATAATTAATACTTTTACATGTACGTACATGTGTATTTTACAAAGAAAAGTAATTTTATTTAACTTTTTGCTGTGTTATTATGTTTTGTAAGTACGAGTATTTGCCTCTAATCCTAAAATATTCAAAGTGCAATTAAATTATTTTGCAAAACTATTTCATAGCATAACTGCGAGTGGAAACATTTGTTAAAACTAAATAAAGGATAAACAATTGTCGGAATAAAGAATCTTGAGTATTAATTGGTTTATAATTGTTTCATTTTATACCATGCATTTGTAATACTCTAAAGGCTGCATTTATATATAAAGGCTATTTTGACTCTGCAATTTGTACTTTTCCTGGCATTTGAATGCAATAAATTACATTTATACATTTCAAATTTGAATGAATCTACTAAAATTATTTTAAAATAGATTCAGTAATTGGTAAATGTAATTTAGTGATTCATGTATTTCTAGCCTTTTTACATACTTAAACTTCTTCCCACAATTGGAACACAACTGAGACATCTTTATATAACCAGGGACCTATATATAGGTCTCTGATATAATCTGTAGGCTTTTGATCCTTGCTTTCAGTTGTATGTTTAGAAACTATATGATATAGGGGGGAAAAAAGAAAATCAACAAATAAATAAAAAAAAATTGAAAAAAATGACAGTTTTTGCAGATCCGTATGTATACAAAACTTTACCTTTCTAACATTACATGTAATTAAAATAATTCAAATTATAAAAGAGTCTCTTTTGCAATTTATTACATTTAAAATTACATACATTTGTAGGAAAGGTGGAACACGGATTGTCCTCAAAAGTATCGTCATTATCGTCGGTTTGATAAATATTTTCATCGTCATCATCTTCGTCATCATCAGTTTCATCAAAATATTCTGATTGAGTCAATGATGTAGCAGGAACATCATCATATTTATAGAGAACAAATAAGTTCTCTGATGAAAGAAACAAAAAAACAAGCTGAAACGTTGAGTTATTGTGTTAAATATGCAGAACTTCGGAAAAAATGTGAAGAAATTCAGGTGCGTCCTTTGAGTGTTACCAGTGTTTTATTCCTATGTAAACTGAAGAAAGAAATATTTGGAAGATTAAAAAATTAAATGACATTATTAAATAAATTTTATTTAACTTTTTTCCCATTTTTTTCTTCTCTTATGCAAAGATTACTCTAAATGACAGAAATATTATAAAGATTTAAAGAATTTCACTTACTTGAAACATGCAAACTTCCAGCTAGGAATAAAAATAAAATAATCCATATTAAAAATCTGGGAAATCTTTTGTACATAGTAAATCAAACTCAAAAATGTCACTTATATAGTGCCCTTATGGCTAGGTAGTTTAATATGAAAATTTTGTTACAGTTACCTGAAGGTCTTCTGTATTGATTGACAAAGATAAGAGGCAGTTCGATAACCAAATTTTATACTTGAATCTGTAATCCTCTGAAAAGAAATGCGTTACGCACCTCAGCAATCGTATTATGACCTCAGAGCATATGTAGCGTCAATAAAACAAAATCACTCTAAACCGTCAATAACCTTGACCTTAAAGTGATCAGTTAACTTCTCCTCTATTCAGCAGCAAAAAATTGAAAAAATAATTTAAAATTGTCTTCCATATACCTTTACCAGCTCAACGTTTTTTTAAGAATTCCGTGACTTTGCAAAAAAAATTTGCGCAAATGTTGTGCCTGAATACCAAAACGATACCAGATGAAAGATAATTATGCACTATAGCGTTTAACAAAAGACTAATCAAAGTTATTTTTTTAAAGGGACATGGACACAGTTTCAACTGATTTTTTAAAATCTAATTTTAATGTTTACAATTCCTAACCAAGGCCATTCTACTGATCAGCAAAAATTTGAACATCATTTGTTGATTTACAAAGGATATACAGAACTTGAAATTCTACATAATGTAAACAAGTCTCGTGTTTTGTTTTTGTTGGCATATTGAGAATATCACGTGCACATTTATAATTAAACCTGATTCAGCAAATTACTATAAACTGTCTAATCGTATTTATAAGTAAGTTCTTTATGAAAAAAATCTGCTTTGAACGAATATAACTTATTTTTTGTATTTTTAACTTATGTAAACAAAAACATGGCACGGGTCCTGTTTACATAACAAAGGTTTGGAGCTCTATTTTGCCTTGTTTCTCGACAATAGAAATTAAAATTTTTGATGATCATTAGAAATACCTTAGTTAAATATTTTTAGACATATAACAATGGAAAAACAAATTCGAAAATTTTTATCTGCATCTGTGTTCATATCCCTTTTAAAAGGCATTTTTTTTTTGTAAAAGGTATTTTAATTTCATTTGTAATTGGATTAAAAAATATCTATATCGTATAACCTGTACATGTGTTGCCCACGTCACAAAGACTAACGTCAAAAAAAGTATTAATCCGCTTGTCGTAACATTTGAAATGTGCTCAATTCGAAGATTATTTTTGAAGGAGATATTGTCTTACATTCTAAGTTTCTTAATTAATGCTGTAAAATTAAATCATAAAATAATGAATGAATTTAATAGCTACTACTCAAGTTATATTGGTATAATCTGAATTGGAACAATTTATGCCTTTTATAATATATAACCCGTATACAGTATATTATCCCTCGCTTGCTCTTAAGATAAAAAGGGGGAACAAAAAATAAATCAAATAAATTTAGTAATATACGATAATAATTTTTCCAAAGTATATACCTGAAAATTATCCTTTTGGATCCACAAAACAGAATTCATTGTTTCAACTGGTATTTGTTCAAATACTCACTTGAAAATTTCCGTTAAAAAGTTATCGTATGGTCTCCTCTTAGTGAGACGGGCCGTGGGTTACCGAGATTGGTAAAATGACACATAACGTAAGGTAAAGCATATATTTCTGTCTACTTTTTTTTCAAAAGGTGTACAAAATATAAACAGGTGAATTCTTTTTCATCCTCAATTTAATGTAAACAGGCAAAATAAAATTACGCCTTCCGTGTGACAATACATATATGACTTTTTCAAAGCAGACAAGTCTTATTTTACTTATATATATATTTTCCTCTCGTTATCAACAGCAAAATAATCTAAAGGATTAGAGTTGGGATCAGGTGCCATAGAGGAGTAAGCATTCCATGTTGATCGGTCACAGCCGCCGAGTTTTCCTTAAAAAGTTAGAATGTCTTTGGTAATTCTTATATCCCCCTCGATAGATTCTAGTTTAAAATTGCTTTTTCAAACAATAATCAACAATCATTTGACTGTCCTCTTCCATAAAACCAGCAAGGCATCAACACATATTGACGAAATCAACATTACAAGTCAAAAATGTTAAAGTATTTGAACTTTTTAGAGGAAGGAGTTGTTCCGTTTCCAAGAAAACATGGGTTTTTAGGATAGCCAAAAAGCTCAAAATCAGCTCTATAAAGCTCAGTATATTCCTTTAAAATATCTCTAGGTATTTGACTGAAAGCTTCTAGTTTTGCTTCCAACCTCTGTTCTTCTAATTTTGTACGATTTTGTATCGATTGTATGATATCGGTAATTTTATCAATCACTTCTGATTTTGTGATTTTCTCTTCTGGTGATGTGAAAGGCATTTTGACTTCTAGAGGTATTATTCCTCGAATCTGAAGATCTCGCCAGAATCGAAGAAGTGATTTATGAAATGGTTCACATAATTCCATTTCTTTTTTAAAATAGAATAGCTGATCGACATAATCTTGTGCGATATTCCAATCAGATTTCTGTCCAAAATCATCATATGGCACTGCCACAGGAAATTGTGAACTTAAGTAATCCAATAAATGTGCAACGTCTTCACCAAATGTTTCCATTTTCCCAATAAAGTCATACTTTATACTGCAGGGAAAGCAATGCTCAGACATTGGATAAAAATGCCGATCACGGTCTCTTGATGTTTTTTGGGAGATAATCACGTATTTCATGAATTCTGGAAAAGTGACGTCATGTCCACAACTCAGTGATGAGTTACTGGCATTCCTTCCTCTCACAATCTTTACGATATGTCGTCCTGTTAACTTCCAGTAAAAAGGATTAGGAGCAAAAAGTTTGTCTACATATCCAGAGAGTGCTCTGCCATAGGGCTCACGAACAAACATGAATTTTGGCAATTTCGATAGACACTCTTTAAATTCCTGTGTTCGATTATGAAGGATACTTTCCCCTTGCAGAATTTCATATTCCAATCCAGCAAATAATGTTTTCAATGTCTTTCGTAAAAAGGTAGATCCTACTTTCTGAATTCGGCAATACAAGAAACCAAGATTGTCATAAAACTGTATATTATTATTAAGCCTTTCAAGAAAAGACTGGGTTGTGTCATTTTGGTGAAAGTTGCTGCAGCCATTTCTAATTGTTTGTTGTCTTTCCCTCTGAACAAAATTCAAATTCTTTGATGTTTGAAACATCTGAAATGTAAATAAAATCATGAGTATAAGAATTCGGTTAAGAAAAAGTATTTTGAATCAAATACCATGTTCATTTTCGCTTATTTGTTTGTATTATTTGTTTAATTCCTGAATTACTGTAAACGACAACGAATGGATCCTTACTCAGTAACCTTCTTTAAATTATTTCAATATAATGAATAGATTTGTATTCAACTATATTTTCCAACAAAAGGGGCATCAAAAGGGGATGATAAAAAGATATATAATGAATATAAATTACGAATTTCTCAATAATTTGAGGGAGAGAACTATCTTTGAGTCCTTTGAAATGTGCCATCTGCACCCATTTAATTAAATTTTCATAATTTTTTCATATTTTGCTTGAAACTTGTAGCATCTGGTGTCAAACATCTGTGAGTGATGTACACATCCTCAATCACATATCTTTTTCATACTCTGCATTCGTCAACTGATAAATGACACTTATGATCTGAAATATGTAAATAATTTTAATTTTGGAGGAAAAAACGTGATTGCATTTTTTAGGATCGCCGCCTTTCTAATTATATTTACAAAATTAATACTTATTTCAAACAAAAAAATGGGGTCAATATGCCGCTTATGGGTGCTATAATGGTACATTCAATATGACCTTTTTTGCACTGAAATTGTGTCCTAATATTATAAATCAAATATCTTCGAAGTTTTCCATATATTTTTATACAAATAGGTCATGGAAAAAAATATAACATAGAAAGGTTGAAATGATTTCGCGTAATCCATTACTAGTATCAGACCTTCTGCACTCATGAATGTATTTTATAGTATCAAAAATTGAACAAGCTAGAAAATTATTTTTTATATTTTATATTTAATTAAAGGCTTACTCTTAAAGGCTTGCTAAATTTAATCAAATTGATCAATATTCAGAAAGAAAGTCAACAGTTCTATATTTGAATTTTTAGATATCATACTAAAAAAATGCTAATTTAATATTTAAATTGACTCATTATTTTAACTGGACTTTTAGAATATAGTTACTATGTTTGTCATAATATAATGATAGAATTCATAAAAATTAATGTAAAAGATGTCTCAGAATCAGCACGAAAAATTTCACAGCAAAAATAGCTCTGTGTGCAAACAGCAAGGAAGAAAGGATTCTCATCATAATGTTTATTTACTGCACTACAAACAGGGAAAATTGAATCTTTTTCCTCTTAGAAACTTAATGCCCAAAAATATAGTTCTTGACTTAATCTTGTCTGAATGGCATATTTAATTTCTTTTTATTATTTAATATATCATATTTGAATTTGTAGAACTTAAATAAAATGCATAATTTTAGTAAGGAAGGTCCAGAATTAAAAAAAGCTCGGGATCAAACCTCCTTAAAGTTGCTTCTAATATGCATAGGAATAAGAAACCTATTATTGTCCTTAAAAGGTCGTTCTTGTGGCGTAGTGTTATGACATACATGTGTAACTAAGTCTAAAACTGAATTTTGAAAATATTTTTTTTCTTTTTCTATTAAAATTGGTTTTATTCTTTTTGAAAGAAATTTTAATTTTAAATCAATTCTGAGCAGAATATCATTTTAATATTCAACTAATTTTTTGACTTAAAGATTTGTCCTACACATGTACAATGGGAGTCCTTAGGTCGCAGTATTCGGTATGCTTACGTCAGTTTGAATCCCATTACGGAACATGCATCGAGACTAGTCTTTCTGAAGATATTAAGTATAAACCCAAATCTTGAAGGAATGTTAAACAAATAAATATCTTAGAAATTAACAAAATTAAAACTTGAATTTTTTTTTTAGTTATGCGATTAAATACCGGTAGGAAATTTAAGTTTCATTTATAATCAGACTTTTATTATTGCATGTCGATCAATTTGGTCAAACATCTTTTGTCTTTTGAGTTAACAGACCAGTTAGCGTTGATCCCTTCGTTGATGTTGATAGACAAGTAATAGTTTATGATGAAATTAAACACAGATTTAGAAATTAGCTTAATTCTTAAGTACTTTTATATACTAGTAGTCTTATCAACTAGGCTATAAATTTAACCCTTAATATTCTATTATTAAGGTAATTTTACTTTATAAACCACCTACGATTTTCTGAAATTTGGAACATTTTTCTCTACCATCATCACCGTTTTCATCATCATTGCCTTTTTCATCATCATCGCTGTTTTCTTCCCCAAGATCATCGCTGCTATCACTTTCCTGATTCTTGTAGTATTTAAGAGGGGAGGAAGATGTAACAGAACCTCCAGTGTGATTCAATCTATCATCGAAATACTCTGTTAAGACATAAAAATCAAAGTCAGATAAATTATTCTCTAAACATGCATTTCAATAACCATGGGAAAAAATCCACAGATATATTCCAACCATTTGAGAAAAAATCATTTCACTTACGTATATTTTACACACTCGGTTAACAATCCTTTGTGTCATGATTATGATTAATCATAATCATGACACAAAGGATTGTTAACCGAGTCTTTAAAATATTGTATAAAACAATGTTTTGCTGACAAAAATATAGCCGTTTTTCCATTGATGATACTTTCGCTCGTGGAACAAATAAGGTTCATTAATATCATTCTTGCTTTTACTCATTAATTATTTTTCAAAAGAAATTTATGATTCAATTAAAAATAACAAACGATTATAGCATAACTTAATTGCGGGCATAATTGGACTAAAGATATTTCAACTTCTCAATTTCATAAAGGAATAATGGACGACCAACTTCTCAATTTCATAAAGGAATAATGGACATGTATTTTAATAGAGTAATCTCTCTTATCAGAGTATTGATGAACCTTAAACCCCAGTGATTTGGGTTTGAAATTAAGGAATTAATTATTTCGATTTAATATTCCTCTGTTTAATTTAACTTTAGGCGAATAAACATATCCCCATTATGATAAGAAGAAAAAATAAGATTGACGCCACTCACTTGATATTTGAACAATTCCCATAATGAATAAGAAAAAGACAATTACGCAATACAAAATTCGATGACTTCGTCGAAACATTTTGACACAAGATCTGAAATCCAGATTAAAAGGTAGAAGTTGCACAATTTCACTCTCAAGGGGGAGGAATGGACAAATTCGTTAGTACATATACATGCAATTTTAGCATATCAATATATGGGTGTAAGGAAAACTTTTCTGTCATATGTTGACCTAGTCCCCTTCGATATCTGATATAATGAACTGCCTCTGGCTTATATATCTACAGCCATTCCACAGTTATTCTTTACAACATTGATTTGCTGCAATATGAAGTAAGACGTTGTCTAGTTGCTCCATATATACTTTCCTTGTTAGTAGAATATCCTTCATGGCGATGTGACTTGTAAATGGAAATTCCCGAAAACAAGGAAATTGTTTGTTGGTTTATTTTAAGTCCCTTTCCAAAGAGATTGGCACTTTTGATGAAACCGTTTAACGAAAGACCCGTGTCACTGTAGGTACTTGCACGAAAAAGATCCCTCACGGCTCAAACGCTCTAAATGTCGAGTACTGGTATAATATTACAGCACTCCATGGTGAGTACTGGTGAAATAGTTTAGAAGGGACGTTAAACAATCGTCCATTTCCAGAATTTTTGACATGTTGCGATGCAAGCAGTTGCCAGTCATTGGCGTCGGAAGCAAATTAAAAGGGGGGGGCTAAGGGTGCAGGTGAACTTCAGTACTGAGATTTTTTCCAAACAGCACCACTTTCCCAATTTTAAACCTATATTGCAACGTGTCTGTGGAAAGAGGGGGTTAAACCTATGCAGCAATGTTGATTTGATTTGATTTGAACATATTTTATTATGTAAAATACATAATTGGATTGGGCAGCAGGCATAGCCTATATGAGCCCTCTCCATGCAGCAATGTTCAATGTCTATACTAAGTCTGTCTTTGGAAAAAAAGGGGGGGGCTTAAACCCCCCCCCCCCCCCCAGCCCGGTTCCGACGCCTATGCCAGTGAAAGGATTTAACAGTGCATGATTCCGGGTCTCCTTGAAATTATATACTACAACAGGGGATTTGGTTAAACATTGTCTTAACTGAAGTATCAGTGTCCGCTTTTCGCAACTTGGCGTTTGAACCATGCAGCGACGTTATTAGAAGGGTCATTTGACAAGACAAAATTTCCCGACTCTAAGTCGAAACACTGTAGATAAATGATTCCAGAAATTTGACATTTTGCTACTGCTTGAGCATTGCCCTGGTGTCTACGTACAGTATGGACGTAATCTACGGAATATTTGACCTCAGTTGAGATTGATCGATTGTTGTTTTCGTCCCATTCGAGAACTTTTCACTCATATACCGGTGAAGGACTTCAAATTGAGACCTTTACACAGCACATAGGGCCACTGAACCATATGAAAAGTGGGGGAACTGTATCGTTACCACGCCTGTCGTGACACGGACCTCGAATTGTAAGGTCTTATCCGAAGGACCCAAAACTTTCACTTCAAAGTGTACCGAGCGCATGGCGAAGAAGTTACTACGTACATGTATTTTTTTTCATCAACTTAGATCAGTCGTGGCCGAGATTCGAACTCCAGGCCTTTCGATCATGGAGCGAGTGCTCTTCCGACTGAGATACCGTGACAGCGACCTCAATTTAGCATGGATCAAGTTACTATTTATTTATGTCGTCCGTCAAAAAAACGGCACCTTTTCGTTCTGAGAAAATGAATACCCCGCATTAGCGCAGTATGAAAGTTTTTCGGCATAAACAGGTGCTTGTACGACTGACATCAAAAAATTTAGTCATTCAATTCTTATAAATAATTCGTCTTTTTTTCCTTCATACAAGTAAATTTCATTTATCTTTATCATAATTTAGAACCTTTTAGGACTTTTTTGATTAGTCTAATATTAAAGCTCCATGTAAAATAAACACGTTTTTTTTTTTATCAACTTTTTGACCGATTTCATTTTATGATTAGTCTTTGTATACCCCCTCACCCTCCTAAGAACCATTGACACCGTGGCACTTCCGTCATGGATTTTTCAGTTTTGGTTATTGCTAAATGCTTATGATGATAATTCTAACAGATTGAATAAAAAACAGCTTTGTCTCCCATCAACAATATTTGTTTACATAATTTCAAGATAGTTATGGGATCCCCTGCAACTACAGGCCTATGTCCATTGTTCGTTTGCAGTTGTTCTATCCTAGAGCAGCTTACACATATCAGCTTGAACTAGTCTATTAAAACACATGAAATAAATTATTTTGTGAACATGTTTAATGAACAATTGCAGTGTGAATAGTATGTACAAATATGTGGATGATTTTGATTGGCTGTCGATCATCTATGTTCCAGTTCTCATTGGTGGAGAAACCAGAATAACCCCATCTCCTCTCACAAACAGCATTGGGATGTTCCTCTTTGTAGTCTGAAAAATAAATAAACTGACATTACAAGAAATTAAAATTAACACTTGACAGGTATCTATATCTTGTGCTTTTGGTTTATACTGTTTTTACATATTTCAAAAATAATCAAATGATATATGCAATTATTAATCCATTATCTTTATTTAGTTGGTAGATAACAATTGATAGCTGATACATAACTATTCAATTTTTGATAAAAAGGATTCACAGAAAACATTTATTTAAAATAAAACAGTCATGTAAAATGGTACATTTATTATTTCTTAGTCCCAGAGTTCATTGGACATGCAGATTTTCAGACACAAATTTTAAGAAACTAACTTTGTATATTTCCTCGAATGTCTCTTCATCTATTTCTACTGTTGTGACAGTTTCCTCCACATCTCCTAGAATCATGTTCAAGTGCTGATCATAGGCCTGTAAAGATATAAAACATTGAAATAATGATGCTCAATATAACCTAAATATTTAATAGATTAAATTTACTTTAATTCTATATCAATTTACTAGTACTTTAAATATGAAATTTTATTTTTTAAAATATTTCTTTGGAAATATATCTTCCCCCCCCCCCCCAAAAAAAAAAAAAAATTTTGGATTATATTTTTTTCATTGAATAAAAAAAGGAACAGAAAAACATATTAATTTTCAGTATGTTAATTTTTAAAACATAACATGCCTTCCTATTAAGTTACATAATTAATTTAATGAGAGAAAAAAAACCTGCATGGTTTCACTTACATTAAGCCTTCCTCTGAGCTCACGCTCATTTCTCATCTTCACATAAATTCTTTCATCCAGACTTAGACGAATCAGATCAAGGGGCTCCTCAACATTTTGTACTGGGGCTTGCTACCAAAAAATAAATATAAATCTTAATTAACTTAATTAACTGGAATCTAAAACATATAATCCTAGCACAGACAGAAGCATGTGGTCCATGCATATTGCACAAATGTAGTATAAATTTATGCCAAAATAATAAAAATTAATAACTTAATCAGTAACAATGAGGAAGGAAACTAACAGTGACCAATCTCATGAAAACTATGTGATGGTTTGGGCCATGCATGTATATCGGCTTGGAAAGCTTAGTCAGTGGAGCACCAGACTCTGACTTGTGATGCAGGGGTCATAGGTTCAAATCCTCATCTAGCCGCACATTCTCCCCTTTCTTTTTACTGAATTTGGTGCTGTTGACAACCTCTGGAATTGCAGGTGAAAGTCCTGTCTTGCACTAATAAAAACTTAGGTTGTGTCTAAGAGGGTGAAGACAATTTAAGGAGGGAGGAATGTTTAAATAAGGTTTGGGCCTTCGATATCCATTCTTGGTCAAATCATACATGTTCTCCTTTCCTATTTCACCTACTTACAATATCAATCTGTGAAGAGGGCAGAAAAACATGAACCCCAGGTTATTCCAGGGGTAGGACCAGGTGCCATATAGCAGTAAGCATCCCCTGTTGATTAGTATGACACCTCGGTATGTGCCCTTTGTATAGCGAAATAATCCAAAATTGTTAAATGAGTAACTGGATGGAGTTAATGTAATACTGTTCAGGAAAATATTTTGAAACAAATTATATGAGATATGAATCTACCAAATCAGTCAGTCGAAATCACAAGCCAGGGACCAAAGACTATCCAAATGAACCTGCTGTAGAACCTGCTTCCTCAGTTTCAGGATGATTAGGTAAAAATTAATCCAATTCTGTCATATACATGCTCTTACACCACTACAGTTACACTTACAAAAATGACTATGAGAAGATTATTTTATTTTAACAAGACTTAACTTAAAATTTAACACTGTTTCACACAAACTGAGAATTATGTGTAAAATTAGAATTTTTATGCTATATTTTTATGCATAACCAACGATCCAAAATGATTAAACTGGGTGAGAGCACTAAAAAATAAAGCCAGAAAAAGCACCTGCTCCTGTTCATCCGCCATATTTCTTTCTGATTTCAACTGAGTAAAATGTTATTTCGGACAAAATAGCATTTTTTGAAATACAAAAAAACAAATCTGTAGTAGAATGAGACTTGATCACAATTTTTTATCTACATTTGTTCACAAATTGCGTCTTTTAAGCATTTAGTATTAAGAGTGTTCACGAATTTTTATTTTCACCAAATATATCCGAATATTAGAACTTCTTGTTCACCGGAGTGATTAAAACCGGAAGTTTACATTTTAGGAATCGGCGTGGGAAAATTCGGCAGAGTCAAGAGTCTGAATCGCGCTAAAAGGGTTTTGAACGCAAAGGGTCTACCTTTGCTCTGCAATTTAAGGTGAAATTTTAAATCTTCTTTTGGTTTGTAGGGATGAGAGCACTGCATCGCAGAACATAAGAAATATTTAGCATGCTCTTGGAAGAAACAGAGTGTTGGTAAAATGGGTAGGCAAACCCGGGCCGGGGCAAATCAAAAGCCGGGGCAGATCGAGGTTTTTCAAATATCTCCGCTAAAACTCCACCAATTCATCTGAAATTTTCAGATTTTGTTTTTTGAAGGTTCTTTTGTATTCGCTATTAATATCATCACAATATACGCGATATTTCTGATTTTCTGGGCGATTGTTCATTTCCAGGTTGGTAAAATGGGTAGGCAAAATCAATACTACATTTTACGGTATTTTTGAATCACGACTAGTTAAGCCTTTACAATTATGGACTTTTCCAATAGTTTACACTCTATATTAACGAAATATAATTAGTTTTACATTATAAAAGCTTAAAATATGCAAAATATGCGCATTTTCAGAAAAACCGGGTCATTAAAACCGGATCCGATCACCCGGGGCAAACCCGAAAATTCCGAATTAATAAATGTTTGTATTGGAGGATGTTAGCTATCACTGTTGTGACATTGCCCAGCTCTAACCACATGGAGGTATCCTCATAAGAGCCTTTTTTATTTTTATTATTTAAAATAATCAGTTTGAAAAATGGGTTTTTGGAATGAATTTTTGATTTAATCTTAAAATTTAAATTGATTTAGCACTATTCTGAAATTAAATATTTACTCACGGAGCACTAAATTAAAGATTTTCTTGAGTCTTGATATTGATATAATATTTAAAAGTGAACTGTGCATTTTAATATGTACATTTTTTTGTGTTTTTTAAATTTTTAATTTTTTTTTTTTTTTTTTTTTTTTTTTATTTAAGAGAGAATGTCACGAACCATCAAGCTTCTTCTCTATATATCATGGAAACTTGAAAAATTTGCTTTTTTAAATGGCATTGATAGTGAAACATTTGGGATGCACTGATAACATTTTGATATAAAACATGTGGCCTTTGTGAACCGTTACCATGGAAACCAAGACCAAACATCCCCAAGTGTGCAACCATATCGGTGAACGTATATTTACTACATTTTTCATTTGTAGATACATAGGTGTCACATATTATTAAATCAAAGTTAAAACACATAAGCATAGAAACTTATTCTTATATTTTTACCACTAAACATCACTGGTTAGAAATTAAAAAAAATATTTTTATGCCTCTATATTCTAGTTTTGTCTTAAATAATTAAGCCAAAATAAGAATTAAATTCTTTAATCTACAACAAGATTATCTCAATCTGGTATTAAAAATTAAACAAACACTTCCTTTTCTACAAAGATTCGGCAAAAAAATGAGAAGCATTTGTTGCAGATAATTTTTATGAGCAAATTTTCGGAACGTTTACCTCACTAAAAGCGCTTGAAAAATTCAAAGAGTTACTTCCCTTAGCTGAATCTTTTGTGTAAGCAATATGCAATATGGCGGCAAACTTGGCTGATGAGCTCTGGTGTGTTGAGTCTGTGACAACGGGGCTACAGTGGATCAGAGCTTGAGCTGACTGGGAAGCAGACTAGTAATGTAAGTAGAACTTAAGTATACAGATTTAAGATCTAAATTCATATCATAAAAACAGTAATTAAAAATTTTGGGAACGTAATTTGTCTGCAGACGACCAAACACTTGGTAAAGTCTAACGTTAATGCCATACTTAGGCTAATCATGATAATGATAATATGAGTTTTAAATAAAATACATGGACTCCTGTCAGGTAAAAATGTATGGGATATAACACAACATAATATCCTGTGCATATCCATTCAGTGTAGCATATCAAGAAATAACCGAATTTCCTCAGAATTTCGTCGCATATGGATTCTTTGATACTTCAAATACTCGTAGTTTCTCTTTGCGGTACATTCCAAAAAACCAGATACATAGCTCATATGCTTTTTGTTGAAAAAAATATCAGTCTGTCATTTGAATGTAAATTTTGTGATGATTAAAAAGTATGGAAAATGCATTGGGAAAAAATTATTCAAATAAAACGTAATTTTACAGAAATCCGTCTCCGTTTTTATTATCTTTAGCCCACTGAGTTTATAATCTAGTAAAATCCATATAAAGATCATGTTTTGAAAGTCTTTAGTTTGTATAATTGTTTATTTCTATGTAGAATTACGTGGAAAAAGTAAAAAAAATAAGAAAGTCCATGTCAACCTCAAGTTTACATGTTTTCCTATACCGCGATACTATGAGACTCTCCAATTTAGGAGGTAAATAAGACTTCCTGTTTTAATAATAGACTACAAATTAAACGATGCAAGATTGGGAAATAATTTGATACTAAAAAGTTAGGCCATAGTTTGCTTTATGAATATCAGTTGATGAAAGTTAAATTTAAAAAATCAAATTACACTTTTTTATGCAAAAGATCTAAGTACTGCGATATAATGAGACACCTATATATATATTATCCTCCAGTGCCTGGTCCCCCAGTGCCTTGGATTTTGACACTCTATACATGGTTTTAAGTAGTTTTGGATTTCTTGTTTATATATATGCTAAAATATTGTATTATTTGGGGTCTTTGTCTTATATAAAAACTTGAAACTTGATTTCAAGCAGAATCACTAATTTTTGTTTAAAGATAAAAATGAAACAAACAAAATGTTTCTGTTTCTTGCTTTTTTTTATTGTTTTATGAATATTTATTGTCTAAATAAGACAATAAAGGGTGTGTGTGTGAGGGTGTGTTTGTGTTGGGGGGGGGGGGGGATAGAGGTCAACTTTTTTCAGTACCAATTTTATTCACACAATTATTTAACTTAACTGTAACAAAAAGAGGGGGGAGGGGACCCAACCGGCCTTTAAATGAAAATTTTCAATGCTGAAATTTATGTTTAGAAAAAAAGGCTCCCCTGGTCCCCCTATTGCCCCTACGTGCCTGTGCATAAAACATATATATAAATTACATGTTAAGGTCTCATTGTAGAGAATGCTCTACAAATTGATCATTTATCATGAATTTTGAGACGATTCTAACGGAGAAATACCGATAAGTGGGGATAATAGGAACTACTTGAAATTTTTAAAACTTTTTGCATATCTTATGTAGGAAAGTTTCAAATGTAGTGTAACAATTTTGTCTGTTTGTCTGTTTATCTGTTTGTCCGTTTGTCTTCGCCATAACTTGATGGGTGAACATTAAACAGTAAAATAAACTTGGAACGGCCTAATCTTCAATCCTTGCCTGCCCTTATCTTGTTAGCTCACCTGAGCCGAAGGCTCAAGTGAGCTTTTCTGATCACATTTTTTCTGGCGTCTGTCTGTCCGTCTGTCTGTCTGTCTAGCTGTCTGTCTGTCTGTCTGTCCGTCTGTCTGTAAACTTTTCACATTTTTGACTTCTTCTCAAGAACCGCTGGGCCAATTTCAACCAAACTTGCCAGAAAGCATCCTTGGGTGAACAGGATTCAAATTTGTTCAAATGAAGGGCCACGCCCTCATTCAAGGGGAGATAATTGGCAATTAATGAAAATTTGGTGGCATGTTTTAAAAATCTTCTTCTCAAGAACCACTGTGCCAGGAAAGATGAAACGTATGGGGAATCATCCCCAGGTAGTGTAGATTTAAGTTTGCTCAAATCATGACCCCCGGGGGTAGGGCGGGGCCACAATGGCCAACCAAAGTTTTACATAGAAATATATAGAAAAATTCTTTAAAAATCTTCTTCTCAAGAATGTCCAAGCCATAATTCATCATATTCATATGGAAGCATCCTCAGGTAGTGTAGATTCAAATTTGTTTAAATCATGACCCCCGGGGGTAGGGCGGGGCCAAAATGGCCGACCACAGTTTTACCTAGAAATATATAGGAAAATTCTTTTAAAATCTTCTTCTCAAGAATAACCAAGCCATAATTCATCATATTTATATGGAAGCATCCTCAGGTAGTGTAGATTCAAGTTTGTTCAAATCATGACTTCGGGGGGTAGGGCGCGCCACAATTGCCGACCAAAGTTTTACATAGAAATATATAGGAAAATTCTTTAAAAATCTTCTTCTCAAGAATGACCAAGCCATAATTCATCATATTTACATGGAAGCATTCTCAGGTAGTGTAGATTCAAGTTTGTTCAAATCATGACCCCCGAGGTAGGGTTGGGCCAAAATGGCCGACCAAAGTTTTACATAGAAATATATAGGAAAATTCTTTAAAAATCTTCTCAAAGATAGAAAATCCATGATTGTTCATGGGACTACTTTTGGATTTTACTTTTTCAATAATATACCAATGTATACTTTTACCTAGCCACAGTGTTGAGGTGAGCGATGTGGCCCATGGGCCTCTTGTTTTTCTAGTCACATCAAGTACAAAATAACAAAATGAAGCTAAATTACATGCAATAATATACATCATACTAGATTTTATGGCAAAATTTTACATGTACTTTAACTGTATCTTAATGTTTTTCAGACAGAGGTGTATTTTTACTTGAATCAGGAAAGACTACCAGGCTGAGGGGAGATTTGCAGTTAATACCCATTTGATCTGATGCACTAATCTTGCTGTTGTTTTTTTTTGGTAAATATTAACTTTATATTCAATTTTCCTATATGTATTTTAAGTAACTATGTTATTTCTTATCCTTGGCTACCTCAAAGGTTTTTCTCTGTCCCACCAAGGTAAAAATAAAAAAGGTCTAAGAATATTTTTTTTTTAATTGTTGAGCAAAAATGATGTTAAAGCATATGCATATAATCAATGATAAAATGCTGTGTAACTACACTTGCTGATATTTTATATCTGTATTCCTACTTTATTATGCACCTGGATCGATAGATCGGGGGCACACATGTATATTGTTTTTGGCCTGTCTGTGTTTATTTGTTTGTCTTGAGTTAGAGATTCCATATTTGGAATGTATACTCCACTAATTAAGCTCTTTCAAATGACTCCAAAGTCAAAAAATGACCTTGTGACCTTGACTTTGACCTCTATGCTAAAAATAGCTTTTTCCAACTTTGCTGTCGCTGGGTGCATAGTGTTTCACAAACACATCTTGTATTTTTTTTTTGTATTTTTCAGACAGAGGTACAAAATTTCAATATGATTTGAAATGGAGTGCTCATTTTCCCAGTATGCACCACATATTGTTTGTGATAAGAATGAAAATATCAAACCATCAGCACGTATTGTCACTTTGAATGCCTGCCTTGATGATATTAGCTCACACCTGTCAACATACAGAATAAACTCATCATCATTCAGCAATGAGAGTGAACTAATTTTGTTAAGGGCAGGGATTTTTGAAGCTACATATGCTGAAAGCCTGACGATTTGCCCCAACCATAGATTTCATTTAGGGAAAGGATGGAGAAGTTCAAAACTATGTATGATGCCATTCCCCTTGCAAACTTGTGGTGGAAAAAGAAAACCAGAACGTGCTTCTGTAACTTTACACCAATCTAAGCATGTTTTGCAAGAATTTGGAATATTTATTCCTGTTGGAGCAGGTATGTTTTTGAGCTCTGATGACCATGTGATGAGACTTATGTGATAGTAAGGTGTCCATTGTCTGTCCGTCTGTCTTTAAACAAGTTTTCAAAATGCTACTCCTCCTACAGTTTTGATCTAATTTCAATATTACTTGGCACAAAAGTAGACTATACTAAGATAGATTATTTAGGTTATCTGTTTTTGATTTTGTTGAACAGTGTTGCCATGGTAATTAAAATAGAAATTTCAATCTTTGAAATACTTTCAAAATCTACTCCTACAGTTTTGGTCTGATTTTAATATATATAATGCCATTGGGGCATGCAAGTAGACTACACTAAGATACATAATTGTCTTTATTGTTTTTTTTAATTTTGATGAATGATGTTGCAATGGTATCTAAAATTGAAATTTCTGTAAAATTCTTTTAAATAACACTCTTTCATTTGCAGTCTTATTACAATCTTGTCACAAAAAGAGACTTCATTAATGATCATTATTCTTTTTATTGCTGTTGCAAAGTTTCAAGCCAAGCTGCAACTTTTCTTTTCCTTGTTATAAGTACAAACCAGTAGAGCTACTGTCTCAATAGAGTCTTCCGTTTTCAAATCTGAGATAATGAATTTATACAATGTAACTGACACTGGAGATGATTACTTCTGTCTTTTCCTTTCAGGACTATGTCGACAATGCAGAAGCAAAATTGTGGATTCAGTCAAGAAGGAAAATGGGCCTTTGTGTTTATCGCACAGTGCTTCACCGTTCAGCAATTATTTACTAGTAAGTTTTCAAGATTGTAAAGATTATAACCCGATAAATAAAACTTGCTTTTTAAAGGATAGGGGTAACAAAATTCTAAATACATGTACATTGTAACATATGCCCCCCTCCCCCACCTGAAAAAAAAATTAGGTTTGCAACTGACAGTTGGTTTGTAAACTAAATGTTGTCCATTCAATATATTGAGAATACTTTTCTGAACAGTGATCAAAGTTAGCACTTAGTGGCAGATTACCTCTATTGATTTTGAGGTCTCAAGGTCAAAGCTTTTTAATTACTCTAGACTCATGATCTTGTTTGCTCAATATTTTGAGAATACTTTATACAGGGAAATTTTCGCCCCCGTTTTATTTTCGCCCCTTTCGCCCTTCCCTCATTTGGGCGAATTTAAAAGGGGGCGAAATGAAATAATATAGTATTATTTCTTTAATGAAACTATGATTGGGCGAATTTAAAACGGGGCAAAATTGTTTGCAAGTGTGACAGGGCGAAAATTAAAGGGGGCGAAAATAACCCTGTATACAGTAATTTTCTGTAGCATCAAACTTTGTACATTCATTCTCCTTAGGGACAAGATGACACCTGTCAATTTTGCAGTAAAAAGATCAGAAATCAAGGGTCATAACACATGGACTCCAGATATTGGAAGCCCTTGTTAGCTCATTATATTGAGAACAACTTTTAAATCTAGTATACTGGTACTGTCTAAGTAAATTAAGCTCAATAATATTGAGGTCTGACATTGATCAATTTTAATAAATTGTTTACCCTAGACTTTTAAGTGACCTATTGCTTTACTTTGATACTTTCTAATTTTAAATATTGAGGGGGGTTATATTTTTATGCCCCTCTATGAATATGGCTAGGCCATAAAGTGTTTGTCATGTCCGTCTTCCGTCCTTCTTCCCTTCCATTTTTCCGTCCTTCCATCTGCCCTTCTGTCACACTTTGCGTTTAGCTCAGTGCAAAGCTTAGTTTCAAAAAAACTATCCAAGATATTTTCATCAAACTTAATATGCTGATAGGTATTGATGAGAGCTTTGCAACTGCTTCAAAATTTTTTGACTTTGACCTTTCCTTTGACGTTAACCTCACTTTTATTAAATAAGTGCTTTGCCCAGTTTTAAAGATACCATTCAAGATAGTGTTATTAAACTTCATATGCTGATATACTGAAGAGAGCAACATTTCTGACCTAGACCTTTCCTTTGACCTTGACCACACTTTTCTTAAATTAGTGTTTAACTTGGTTTTTAAAGAAACCATCCAAGATATTTTTATCAAACTTCATGAGCTAATACATACTGATGAAAACAATTCAACTGCATCAACATTTTGACCTTTCCTTTGACCTTGACCTCACTTTTCCTAAATTATGTCAAACTTCATATGCTAATACATACTGATGTAAGCAATTCCACTGCATCAACATTTTTGACCTTGACATTTCATTTGACCTTGACCTCACTTTTATCAAATTGTGTTTTAGTCAGTTTTAAAGAAATCATTCAAGATATTTTTATCAAACTCCATATGTTGATACAAAATTGATGGAAGATATTTAACTGCATCAACATTTTTTACCCTGACCTTTCCTTTGACCTTGACCTTTCCTTTGCTAAATTAGTGTTGAACTTCAAATGATAATACATATTGATGTAAGCAATTCAACTGCTTTAACTTTTTTGACCTTGACCTTCATTTTGACCTTGACATCACTTTTGAATAAACCATTCATAATATTTTTTCAACTTAATATGCTTATACATAATGATGAGAGCTTATCAACTGCATCAACATTTTTATACCCCCCGCAAACGAAGTTTGGGGGGGTATATAGGAATCACCTTGTCCGTCTGTCTGTCTGTCCGTCTGTCTAGCTGTCCGTCCGTCTGTCCATCTGTCTGTGCAATCGTGTCCCGTCCATATCTTTCTTACAGAGGGACATTAGAATCTATTACTCAACTCTAAGATTGCCCATGACCCAAGGGTGTGTCAAGACCTTATCCCAAGGTCATTTAGGGAAGTTCAAGGTCACTGGATTAAAAATTCATAATTCATGTTTGATACTATCTTTATTATGGAAGACCTTACTTCTGAAAAACCCAGCGGGGGGTATTTTGTCCTGTTTGGACAGTTCTAGTTGACCTTGGCATTTCCTTTGACCTTGACCTCATTTTAAAGAAATTAGTGTCAAACTTCATATGCTGATACATACTGATGTAAGCAATTCAACTGCATCACTATTCAAGATATTTTGATCAAATTTCATACACTAATACAAATTTTCATGTTCCATTACTAATATACCCTTGACGGGGCATTCATGTCCTATGGACATACTGTATACAGGGAAATTTTCGCCCCCGTTTTATTTTCGCCCCTTTCGCCCCAGCTTCATTTGGGCGAATTTGAAACGGGGCGAATTCATATAATACAGTATAAATACTTTAACAAAACTTGGACAGGATGAATTTAAAACGGGGCAAAATTGTCTGCAAGTGAGAAAGGGCGAAAATAACACGGGGCGAAAAAAAAACCTGTATACACTATACAGTATTTCTAGTTTCATAAATTTCTTACCTATTTAATTTTTTATTTTAACTATTTTTTTTCAAGACATCAGGAAAAGAAAACACTGTTGTACAAGACACAATTAAAGAAGATGGAGGCTCATCTGTAAATCAAGATCTCACAGTTCATAGGATACCTTCCAGCAGGTCTTCACAATCATCTGATGGTGTAAATCCAAGCACAAATACAGATGATTTTGATCAGATTGTAAGTAGCAATTTAAGATATAAGATTTAATTGTTTTTATGCCCCCGTAAACGAAGTTTCGGGGGCATATAGTTTTTGTCGTGTCTGTCTGTCTGTCTCTCTGTCTGTCTCTCTGTTTGTCTGTTTGTCTGCAAAAACTTTAACCTTGTCTGTAACTTTTGATTTAATGGAGCTGTGACTTTTACATTTCACATGTTTATTCCTTGTGACAAGACCTTTCTTTGGGTACCACCAAATTTGACCTTTTGACCTTGACCTTGGAGTCTGACCCACTTAAACACAAAAATTTTGAACTTTTACTTTGGCCATATCTTTTGAACAATAGATACCATGACATTTATATTTCACATATGTATTCTTTGTGGGAAGACCTTTCATTGGATACCAACATCCTTGACCTTTTGACCTTGGAGAGTTCCGTATCTATGAGAAAACTTGAACCTTGGCTATAACTTTTGAACATTAAGTACTACAGCTTTCATACTTCACATATATAATCCTGATGAAAAGATCTTTCATTGGATACCAAGAACCTTGACCCTTTAACCTTGACCTTGGAGTTTGACCTACTTTAAAAATACAACATTGACCATAACTTTTGAAGGGTTCAGGCTAGGGCATTCATACTTCAAAAGTTTATTCCTTGTGGCAAGACCTTTCATTTGATATCAAGAATTTTGACCTTTTGACCTTGACCTTGGAGTTTCACTTACTTTTTACAAACAATAACCTTGACCATAACTTTTGAACAGTAGGGGCTAGATCTTTCATATTTTACATGTGTAATCCCTGTGACAAGACCTTTCATTGGTTATCAAGAATCTTGACCCTTTGACCTTGACCTTAGAGTTTGACCTACTTTTTTCAAACTTTAACCTTGGTCATAACTTTTGAACGATAAGGACCAGCGCTTTCATACTTCCCAAACGTAATCTTTAAGACAAAGCCTTTCTTTAGAACCCAACAACCTTGACCCTTTGACTTTGAAACGGAGTTTGTCCTATATTATATAATGTTAACCTTGGTCATAACCCTGGAACAGGTTACCTAGCGTTTTATATTTCGCATTTCTTGTGAAAAGGCCTTACTTCAGTACCAACATATTTGATCTGCATTTGAGAAACCTTAACCTTTGCTATGTTGCCATACGGGGGCATTAGTGTTTCACAAACACATCTTGTTGTTACAAGTCTCTTAAAGGATATAAAATTATCAACTTAAATATCCTATTTTTAAATGTTATATATATACATACATGTATATTCAAAATTTTCACAACATTTACAATAAAATGAGTTTTATAATCATTCAACGTGAGATAACATAACATATCTGTCCAAGCTTATTACCAAAAGTACTGAAGTTATTCCACATTATTTTATCACTATACATAAATAATTGATTTCCTAAAAGTAACGCAAATTATTCTGTATAATCTGGTTTAGTATGGGGACACACCCCTTTGACGACCAGCTGAATCATCTGTATCCATGCAATCCCCTCATTTTCAGTCCTCAGGATTCATGGAAAATTCCAGATTTAAAAAATGTACCTTTAACTTCAAAAGTAACTCAATCTTACCACATGTAAACATCATTGCTGCTAGTTCTGTGTATCGGTTATTACCTCCCCTTGTTTTCCATCACTTCCGTTACTATGGTTGTATTATTGAGCGGCAAATTTGAACTCATAAAAAGCAGCACAATTTTACATCCACATTTGTTTATTCTAATATTAAATTATAAGGAATGACTCTAATTCTTGGCCAAATTATTCGGGTATAACCTGGTTTGGGTCAGTTTACACTTTTTTATAATCCCCAAGCGTAAACTGACCCAAACCAGGTTATATCGAATAATTTGGCCAAGAATTAGTCATTCCTGAAGTAGAGTATCAATCCAAGCAAACTTTGTGCCATTTTGAGGACCATGTCCTATTGATAGGAGGGTATAAAATTTTCAATTTTGGTTAAGTTGGTGTCTTACAAAGAAATTTTCTTTGTAGACAAGTACGCAAGTGTCCATTAATTCACAAGGCAGTCTCTGGTTACCAAGCAGTCAAGATACATATGAAGAAGAGGAGGGAGGTGATCACCTAGAAAACATTAATAACAAGAGGAAAGCTCTAGACACTTTCCTGCAAAGTTGTGGCCTAAGTCCAGTGAAGAAGCAACTCAGAACAGATTGGAATGAAGCATCTGACCGTACAAAAAATGATTATATATCATCAGCTAAATCAATTTTTCAAGAGGTTGTGAATGTCCTTGCACCAGGTCAAGGCTCTCTTCTGCTGGATGCTTTATTGAAGACTGCTTCAGATTCTGCTGACACGAACATACTGCAATTTCTTTCAAAAGCCTATAACCTATCTACTGACTGGGGAACACAGAGACAAATTTTGTCATTATTTGCTCATGCCTATACTTACAATCAGTTGATTGCCTTTATTCCAACTCTTACCAAATACAGATATACAGCAGCAAGAAAACATGCCATTACAAGGGGTGTTGGACAGCAAGTGCAAAGTTCATCATATACTAGGGAAGGTTTGTCTGATCACCAGATCAAACATTTTATAGATTTTGTCATGTCCCCTTGTATCATGACAGATTCTCCATTTTTGGAAACTAAGTTAAAACTTTCAAGTGGTGAAGTCTTTCAAGTTCCACAAATTATTTTGAATAGTGTAAGAGCTCGTGTAGTGGAGCAGTACAGGAGCTTCTGCTTTGAGTCTGAAGTAGAAAATGTTGCCAGTGACAGGTCATATATGAGAGTACTAGAGGCTATTGAGCCAAAAGTAAGGAAAAGCATGAAAGGGCTAGATAACTTTGCTGCAGATGGAGCAAGAGCTATTGATGACCTAAAGAAAATTGTTACTGAGTTGGGAAGGCTATTGAAAGGAGTGGAGTGGGCAGATGACATCGTTCAGAAACTGGCAAATGGGAAACAGTATCTTAAACTTGATTATAAGGTTTGTTTTGAAGTTTATTTTGTGTTTTTTCGTGTTCTACTGAATAATTTAAGAAAAGAAATGTGAGCAAAAATTTTTGAGAATTCAAATTTACCCACTGATCATGCTGATAATATAAAAGGTCACGTATCTTTCTATAATACAATACTATATTTTGCATTTAAAGTGTTTTTATTTTTTTTAAAGATGCATGTTGCAGTTGAGTCGGAAATTCCTGACCATTGTTCATATTATGCCCTGTCTTCAAAAGCTTATGAACATCAGGTGACTTGCAGCCATCCCCACAACCAAATCTGTTCTAGCTGTCACAGTTTAACTAACACCATAGAGCAGATAAAAAATGCCGCAGATGAAGCACAGTTTGAGGATGAAGACCAACGTGATAACATCCAGTACACATTGGCACAGGTCAGAAAATGCTTAAAACGAGAATATTTTCTGTAAATCACTATTTATTTGCGAGAACTTTATTTTCGCATTATTACACGAGACAGTATGCTCGCGAAAATTTCATTCTCGCGTATAATAGAATCCCTTAAGATTATGTAGAACAATGACCACAATTCATGAAAATTTTACATCGCTAATAAATAGTGAATATCTTTCTCGCGAAAATAAGGTGTCACCAAAATTAAGTGATCTACAGTAATACATTTGCAAATATTTTCTCTTACATTTGAACAAGGCATATTTACACCTGTGTAAAAACAGCCAGGTTTCTCTTGTTGCCATGATTTGATTATTATTCATATATCATATATGTTATTTCATGATGACGTCATAAAATGCTAACATGTTCAACACATTCAATTTATATCAATGCAAAAGCGCGTCCATGGAAAATAATATCGCACGACATGCTGTTCGGTTGCACTAAACTTACGTAGTACGTGACGTCATAATATGAGAAGCCTGAATTTAACCATTGTGGCGTAATGACAGCCAAGTCCGTTCAGTAAGGACTGTGTCAGTGCATTTGAGTGATTATATAATATAACTATTGTGGACTTCAGTGAACGGTCAATTTGTGGTTATAAGGACTCCTGGCAATTGATATTGACCTCAGACACAGAAAATGATAGCAACCTTGCAGGCTCGGTCGCTATCATTTTCTGTGTCTTCTGTCAAGATCAATTGCCAGGAGTCCTTATAATCACATATCGACCTACACTGAAGTCCATAATTGTATAATAATTTTACAATTTATCATCTCTTTGAGCTATATGGGATTTAATCACATGATTAACCTGTATTTACACTCTAATAAGTTGTAAAATGATACCCAATTTATTAATTAGAGGTTAAAATGTTTTTTTTTGTCACCTGCTTTCGAGAGAGAGATTGAGCTATATTAAACTGTGTATCACCTGTGACAAGACCTTTCTAAAAATACTATGATTTTTTTTACCTTGTGACTTTGACCTTGAAGTTTGACGTACTTTTCAAAAACTTTAACCTTGGTCATAACTTTTAAATGAGAAGAGTATGGCTTTTTATATCAAAGCTGTGTATTGCTGGGGGCAAGACCTTTCTAAATACATTATGTCTTTTGATCTTGTGACCTTGACCCTGAAGATGACCTACTTTTTAAAAGTAATTGTGATCTACACTATAACTTTTGATTGAGAAGCGATAAGGCTTTCATATTTGACTTGTGCTTTACCTGTGACAATATATTTCCGAGCATGCTATGATTTCTGACCCCTTGACCTTCACGATTGACCTAATTTTCAACTTTGGTGATAATGTCTGAATGACATATTATAGGGTATTCATATTTGACACAATATGCCATAAAAAATGACATCTCACCCACAAAAACACTGAAAGCAGGGGATCACATCTCTTTGAATGTGCTTGTAATATTTTTTTTTAAATTGTTGAACAATCAGATGTTTTATGTAACTTTTTTTTTTAGAGTGTAAAAGCTTTAGAAGAATGGAAAAAACATATATTACGATCAGTCAACCAAGATAGAGCAAGATCTGACATATTGGAAAACATAGGTGAAGATCAAGTACTATTAGAAAGAGACTGGGCCATGAAATTTTTGCCAATGATGTATAGAGAATCACAGTCAAAATGGTTTGGAAAAAGAGGCCTCAACTGGCATATAACAGTGGGAACCTTCAAGGTCAATGAGGATCTACATAGTCACACAATTGTCCATGTCTTCGACAATGCGAATCAAGATGCTACTACATCAAATTCCATTTTAAAAGATTCAGTGGAGAGACTTCAAGAGAAGAATTCAAAGTTGAAAGAAGTATTTATCAGATCTGATAATGCAGGGTGTTTTCACAGTGTAGAAGGAGTATTTGGCATACCTTGTTTGAACATAACAAGTGAGTTAAAAATTGTCCAAATGGACTTCGCTGATCCACAGGGAGGCAAAAGCATATGTGATCGTAGAGCTGCGCATATTAAAGGATCCATCAGAAAATATGTTGACGAAGGAAATAATGTCACAACTGCAAGAGAGTTCCTTGATGCTGTCATGAATTCCAACATAAAGAATGTTGAAGTGGTTTATGCATTGCCTCCAAGTTCTGGTGCTGAGAAAAAGAATTTAAAAATTAAAGATATTTCATTGCTGAATAATTTCAGATATGGTCATAGTCATGTAACATGCCACAGGCAATACCGTATTGGCAGAGGTGTGGAGTTTATGAATGAAGAAGTGGTTTTATATAACACCTTTCCATCCATTGAGACCATGACCTCCTGCTCCACAAGCACTTTTGTGAAACCTTGTGAACCATGTGAACCAGGTCAATCAGTTGTTATTGATCATGCTCAGCAAATACCTGTAGATGCAGAAAATACACAAACCATTGTGGAGGATTGTAATGAAAATGCAGAAAATACACAAACCCTTGTGGAGGAATGTAATGAAAGTTCTTTAATTTTCACTTGTCCTGAACCCAATTGCCTCATGTCATTCCAAAAATATGGATATTTGAGCAAACATTTAGACAGAGGAAATCATAAAACAAAAACACATGTGAATTCACTTTCTGATAAGGCAAAAAAGGAGTTTGTGGATCAAATTGAAACAAAGAGATCAACATTGCTTCAAAAGTCATCGACCACCTTACCATCGGATAATATAATATTAGAGAGAGGATGGGCCTTGAAATCCAAACGAATAGCTAGAAGATTTTCAAAGGAACAAACAAATTTCCTGAGAGAAATGTTTGAGAAGGGTGAAGTTACTGGTTATAAGTGTGATGCAGAAGAGGTGTCTGTGAAAATGAGAACAGTCAAGGATAATGATGGCAAAAGAAGATTCTGTCAGCAAGAATTCTTATCATCAGCTCAAATTGCCAGCTACTTCAGTAGACTGTCCTTAGAGAAGAGAAAGATTTCACTGAGTTCATATGAAGAAGAAGATCTTGTTGCAGAAGATTTTGAAAATAATGCCATGGAAATCAGAAATCTTGCTACCAGTGCAAAATGACGCGTTGCAAGCTGTTAGTCTACAGAGACTGAGAAGCTTTGGTGACCTATTTACATAGGTATCTGAATTAAGTATACCTACTTGCAAGATTGTTGCTTCCATTTTTTAAAATAATAATACCTGCATATATAACAAATTACCAGAAATTAGTTAAGCCATGCACTGTTGTAGTTTTAGACAATACCAGAAGGTTATTTTATTGACTTAGTTGGAACCAATTAAAATATTCATACTGTATGTATCACAAATACAGTAGGTATGTTGAGAAGTGGAATAACCTGTATGTCAACATTCATGATGTTTTTGTTAATTTTCAGGTACTTATGTATTTACAATGAATTTATTGTAATTTTTTTTTTAATTGGTTTTAATCTAAGAAAAAAATTTCATTTCTCTAGTATGTCAGCATGTGCTGGTTTGAACTACAATATCCATTCATAATGCTCTGTGCATTGTTTAAGTACCTTTGTTTTTTCAAAGAATATTTTGTAATGTATTTCTATTTATAAAAGCCTCAAGAAAAGCATTTGTCAGTGTATATGTGCTTATAATTATTGACCAACTAGTACAACTAGTACATTGTACAAAGTTACAAACAAGTCTAATGATATGACCATCTAGTATATGTATTTATAGGCCATTTAGAAATGTCTGAATTAAAGTCATAAGAATATATTTTCAAGAAAAAATACTTGCATTTCACAAGGTAGGTCCCGTTAACAAATACTTGGATGTCTTGAACTTTATTTCCAAAAGATGTTGAAGTTTATTTCCAAATAAATTATTTCATTTTCCATTGTCAGATAAAGGTTACAATGGGTTTGTTGTTGAAGTTCAAAATGAATGAAAAATGAGTCATCTTTTGTTCTTTAATTGAAAATTTCCAAATTTTTTAAACACTATTTTGTTTAAATTTAATAACCATAAATTCCTGACTTTTACATGTTATGTTAAATACACTAGGAAACTTTTGCTATGGTATGTTTTTAATTTTTGTAGATTTTGGTGTGTACATGGATCTAATTTAAGATTTTTGCTTTAATCTTTTATGCACACTTAATTAAGTTTTAATATGAACAAAACAATTTAAATTTAGAAATAACCTCATTCATACTCAGTGTTGCTATGGTGAGATATATATTGCTAAGGAAAAATATGATTTTTTTTAAGAATATTAAATTGGTGTGAAATGTAATCAACTTATCTATTAAAAATTTGTATAAACAATTTTTAAACGAGTATGAAGTTTATTAAATGAAAAAATAGATCAATTTCTGTCTTAACACTATACTGTTGCTATGATCTGATTATAGTGGTTGCTAGACCATTTTCAATTTGGTTATGCTGTATTGTTTTTGTTATCAAATTCTTTTAATTTTATTGGATACCTATCAATTTTAAAGATAACCACTCTCCTAATAATTAAATTTTAGCAAAATATTCGAGAGATTTCACTAATTTGTTACGACACCTTTCACCATCCATACTCCTTTCCATAAAGTTAGTGGAAGAGTGTCCTTAAATTTGTTTCTTAGTTTTATATATAACTATGGTAGATCAAAATCTCAGACCAAAAATTACATATATATTGCATCTAAGGATGCACACTATTAGATTATCCATTTGAATTCCCATATCTATTCCTTAGGAATATCATCAATTATTGAATAGTTTTTATTGATAATTCATGAATAACAAAATGTCTATTCAGCTCTGTTGCTATGGACCTCATTTGGTTGCTATGCACAGAATATGATCAATGTATAAATTTTAGTTTATATAAATATTTTTTTAAAGAAAAAAAGGTTTTTCAATCAATTTATACTTATAATACATGTTCTCCTCCATTTTTTTTTGACATGATGTTTCGAAAATGTCTTGGTTGCTATGCAGTAAATTTGGTTGCTATGGGCACATTACAGGATTTTTATCCCAAAATTTCACTATATTTATTAAGGATGCAAAAGTATGATAGCTTTTATACATATAATTGTATCAATTTGGAAGAAATTTAAAATTTTCCTAAAATATTGGAAGTGAATTTTAAGCATTCTTTAAAGAATTTAAACATGAAATTAAACAGTTTTCCCACAAAAGTAGTAAAAATGCTTCTCAATTTTTTATGTCAGTCTTGAAGATCAACATGTATTGTGCAAGAATAAAATTCATTTAAATGCTGAACCTGTTGTAGATTTTATATATATTAGTTTTAACTTGACAGGTAAATATTTAAATTTTCACATTGTTCAACTATATAGTATTTGTGTTGCCATGGCAACAGATGCATGGGTATTTAGATTTGCTTTGAAACTTTTTTGTACACTACATATCTTTAATAGTTTGCATAAAGTTTGTTGTGGGTGATATCAGTATTCTTTCTGTAAAAATATTCTTCCAAAAAAGTTAAAATTTAAGCTTTTTTCCTTCACTTACGGTGGTTTCCATGGCAACACATAAGAAGGTAGATAAATTATAGTTTTGTTGGTCAAACATCATTTTCATATATGTGAAAGTTGTGTACAATGAACACTTTTTACAACCAATATAAGAAAACAGGAGGTAAAAATTTTAAGTTTCCATCTGAAGCTTGATGATTCGTGACATCCTCTCTTAAAACATACAAACTGTTCTTATCGTGGTCACCACGACGCCCTACCAGGGCCCAGACTCAGTTTGTTTAAAACAGTCAAATAAGTAATTTAATATCACTTAATTATAAATAGCACTAGTCTTTTGACTGTAATGATTAAAAACAGGGAGAAGTTGGTGCATTACATTGGGGACAGTTGAAAAGGAAACTGTCACCTGGGTTTGAAACACCTGCACATTTCTGATGGAACCATTGCTGACAAGATGGAGTGTTGCAAGCAATCATATTGTCAAAGATGTTTGGCAGATTGCACCGTGCTGCACAGTCAAGTGGAATTGTGTGTACTTTGCCTTTTTTGGTGAGGCTCAGTCTTTTCTTTTGACTTGGGTTTCTTGGAAATGGTGTGAATTTCTTTCCTTCAATACATTTCACCAAATGACTTCTCATGTTATCGACATCATAGTTAATTGGCTGTTCACTGTTACCTGTGAAACAAAAATCTGTCAAATTGGCAATGGCATACACCCCACAATCCACTCCATTTTGCTGTTGTTTAACTTCTTTTTGTATTGCCCAAATTGATCAAGAGAGCTTGTGTGTGATTATATTAAAGCCAGTGTGAGGGATTCTGCATTAATTATGTTAGTGCAAATTTAATAAATAAATTATTTCTATTTAAATAATTAAACACAAGCTTCCAACAAATCGATTTGCATTTTTTTTTTTCAGATGACAAACATTCTCCAGTAAAAACAGGTCACCTGTACAATTATTCCGGAATTTTCAGGTTTGTCCCGGGTGATCGGATCCGGTTTTAATGACCCGGTTTTTCCTAAAACATGTAATTTTACGTAAATATTACAATAACCAAGGAAGAAATATTAATAAATGATTAATATATATTCTTAAACACCAGAATTATCCATAAATTTATGGACTTTTATGTAGCATATGTCTGAAAACGTAAATTGGGACATTGGGAAACTGCCTACCTATTTTACCAACTTGAAAATCTATAATCGCCTATAAAATCAGAATTATAAAGTATTTCAGTGCAATTTTAGCAGCGAATATTAATAATCGTGTATTAAATAGATTCTGAAAATTTCAGCTCGATCGATAAAGTATGAAGACGGAAATATGAAAAATCTCGATCTGCCCCGGCTTTTAATTTGCCCCGGCCCGGGTTTGCCTACCCATTTTACCAACACTCGAAGAAACATAACAAAGTTTCATTTTTTCAGGATGGCAAAGATTGGAACATTCTTTAACCCAGTGGTTACAAAGACTTGGAGCAAACAGCAGACCTGGAAACAGGCTAGGTCCTCCTTTATCTGGTGTATCGTCAACCTCTGTCTGGCCACATTCATGTACTTAGAACTGTAAGAAAATATAATTAACTAAGGTGGACTTATTGTTACAAGTCTTGTAGGGGGGTTATTTTGTCCTGTTTTCAGTCTGTGGTATGAACCGATCCAAGAATTAAACTTCCTACGTGAAACATGTGAAATGTAAATGTTAAATTTAGACAAAAAGAGCATGGTAATTCAAGAATTAAAAGGACACTTTACATTGCGACAAGTTTTCATGAGGGCACTTTTTAACTTCTTTGAAATAATAAGCATTTACATGTACTTCCCATACTTTAATAATCTTTTTTTATTGTAAATGTAATATTTATTCATACAAGTAATTAAAAAATGAATTCATAAATCTTTATAAATTAATTTTTCAGAAGAATAGATAATTTGATAAAGTTGATGCTTTTGTGTTTGGTTTTTTGTACAGTGATCGTAATAAGTAAAATATTGTCATTTATTGCTTTTGTATTAATTGATTCAATACATTATCATTACAGGACAATATTTGGAATAAGAAGTCAATTTAACTTGAAGACACCCATATTTTGGTACATAGGTAAAGGTTTTTTTCTGCACTGTTTCATAATTGTACATCTCTCAGTTTTAAGCAACATTAACTACTTTCTTTTGCTTTTTTGAAATAGAAAAACTACACATTGTATGGTTAAGTTATTTACCCCTGCCTCAACTCAGCAGTAATTTATTACTTGATAAACATGTCTATAATTTCTGGTGAATGTATATGCAAAAATACACATATGAATGTACATAATCATGATGTAAGGTTTAAAAATTTTATACCCCTACTTAACTTAATAATTATACCCTTAATTGTTCTGTACTTGCCTTTATTATTTTACAGAATGTGTGATTGCTCTGTTACTGCTGCTGAACACAGTTTTCCATTTCTGTACATATCTACGACCCTTTGTTTCCTCAACATCAGTGGATCTGACTCCAGAACAAAAACAACTACTAGCTATCAAAGACACAGGTGTGTATAATAACACTTTGGGGTATATGTTTACATGGTATTGTAACTATTGTTATCACCCCCACCCCCTAAAAAAAAATAAATAAAAAACTGATTTTCCACAAGTGTCACAGATTCAAAGCATAAGTTGGAATATACATTAAATCATTCTGAAAATTCCATTTAAACTTTAATTGACATTAAGAAATTTGTATATAAAAATTTGTAAATTGATATAATTTTTTTCCCCTTTTTTATGGGGGATACAGATCTAGGATTTAAGGTGTCTCCTCAGAAGTCCCCGGGGTCTCTGTCCAGTGAGGGGAGCCTAGTGTTCTCCGTGTCCACCCCCACCGCTCAGTCCAGCTCGTCTAGTGGGAGGCTGACCCCCACAAACCTGGGGTCAGGGTCCCTTAACTACAGCAGCCAATCCATCACCTACTCACCATACTCCTCCCAGGGCAGTTTTGACAGGGTAATGTATTTAGTATTCAGAGTTTTGTTGGCTGAATAATTGTTTTAAAAAGTAGTTCCTTTCAGTTAAACAAAAAAGTAGATAAAGAAAGCAGCTTAGTTAGAACTGTTAGGCCAAATAAAATTGAAATCTTGGTTCTCAGGCCCGCGCGCATCTGTTTTGAGGTAGCCGCATTGCCGATTTTATTGTATTTTTGATAAAATAAAAAGTTGATATTGCGGAGACCAATCCGGGAAAAAAATTTCCGACCTCATTTGTTTCGTAGTTTAGTATTCATATATTACTTCCGGTAGCCATTTACCATGAGATTTTGGCTCCTTCGCTTGAAAATACATTCAAGGACATTACCTACGATATTTACACGTTGTTAAGCAATGGATAAAGCAGAAATTTTGACCAGAAATGGAAAGTATATCTGTGATTTAAAAAATTATCTTTATGTTTAAGAAAATTCGGAAATTAAAATTAAAAAATATACCTCCCTCATCTAATTTATTGCCAATAAAATGAAAAATAAAATGCCGCCCTCCCGCATCTGTTTTGGAGAAAATTGGCCTGAGAACCAAGGAATTAAATCTAGATAGCCTTAGCATTGATAGGTTCCTGTGCTTGCCTTGTCTTGTTTATGGCGTAGTCCATGTCATTCATGATGATTCTTATTATTAGATCTACATTCTTTTTAATTTCAAAATTAAAGAAAATTCTATTTGTATGTATATTTTTTTACTTTCAATCTGAAATGGTTGTCATTTTTTTCCTAAACAGGGATCACACAGTGGAACAATAGGAACACCTTTCTCACAATTTTCTACGAGTCCTGGAATGTCTGCATACAGCCCAAACTTGTCTGGATACAGCCCCAATGTCTCAGGCTACAGTCCACAGATAGTCGGATACAATCCAAATCTGTCTGGATATAGTCCAAATGTATCCGGATACAGTCCTAATTTATCTGGATACAGCCCAAATTTATCAGGATATAGTCCCAACATATCCAGTTACAGTCCGAATCCATCTGGATACAGTCCAAATATGTCAAGTTATAGTCCAGGGACTGTGTTTACACCTAGTCCTAATGTGTCTGGATTTACTCATCATATGTCAGGGTATTCCCCTAATTTGTCTGGATTTATGTCAGGATCACCAGGGATGACTGGAATAGCAGACACCAGTGGGCTTAGATCCAGACATTCCCTGTCACAAACCATGAAAAATGCTGCAGGTAAGTATTTAAAAGGTGGTTGAATTACAAAAATCTTTTATTCTGAGTTCTGTCACGGGTCTCCCAATCTCAGGGAATAATAATAATTCAACACAGTTCCTCAATAAAGGTTCATATATTTATTGGATGACAATTTGCAGGAACGATGATAAATGAAGTAATGAAGTACAAACGAACGTACGAATGAAGGTGACCTGCAATGAAAATGACACACTCGTACAAATTCACACACACTAATATTTATTTAATTTCAATAGTTTAGAATAAGAATAAGACTTAGTATTAATTTACTCTTACCAGTTACACCATGGTACTAAGGTTCCGTAAGGAATTTCTTAGGTAAACTGCTAATATAACATAGATTTCTCGCAGGAGAACATCTATAATGTATCGTCAAGATTAAAAAGGAATAGTCCGTGCATAAGTATATATACCAGGACTCATACATGCGTACATAGCTACCACACCCCATACATACTGGTTTTACAACTCACACCTAGGATAAAAATAAACCACAAGACAATCACGTGACAACCAAACACTCACGTGACACGGAACACCGGACAAACCAGAATACAATACAAACACGATGACAATGAATGACCAGGTATGAATGAATGAATGAAGGAATTTACTACAGCTATCTATTATACTGACTTACTATACCAGCTGTACTAAATAATTATACTAAATAAAATAAAAACAAGTAATTGTCACCCTGTGACATTCTCCCCCTCTTTAATAAAATGTCTCCTGACATTTCTTAAAGAGAATACTCTACTACTAAACTTATCTACACTAACTTAAGTCTTATCAACACTAAGTAACTATCAAATAATAAGACTTAATGACTAATCATAAAATTATGAACTACAATATACACCATACATAATTAACTAAGTCACTGTAAGTGAAATCTTAAGTTAAATCATAGTAGTTCTATCCAAGATGAAATAAAAACATAACATAAAAACAACATATTAAATCTATATACACACATCCTGATTACCTGTGACGTTCTCCCTATTTATACATACCAAATCTGGGTCTCTATGGGAGATACCCAGGAACCATACCTATCTGGTACTTTCTTGGTTCTGGCAGACCTGCGGGGCTCTGCTACTACATTAGCTGGAATACATGGTTCCATGTGGGTTAACTTTATACTTTCGCTTGTTGAAGTCTCCCTAGTTGATGGCTCTGTGCGGTTCAGTGTTGTATTTTCTCTAGTCGATGCTTCTCTATTTGATAGTGACTTGGATGACCTTGACCTATCTGAAACACTAGATATATACTGTTTAGGTTTGACTCTTTTATGCCTTACCAAAACTTCCTCATCCTCAGATTCGGACTCTGTCTCTGATTCTGCAACTTCCTGGTCTGGTACTGCGTTCGGGACCCTGTTATCTGAATGTTGATCTAAATTCGAAGATTTTGTAATGCACATAAAAGGTAATAAAAGATTCCTATGTAATGTTCTAATTTTTCCTGATATCTCATTTTTGACTCTATAGACTGGGATGTTTGAAACAGGCTGTTCTATTACCATGTAGGGATCTCTCTCCCACTTATCAGCTAATTTTGATCTACCAGAAAATACTAATGTTCTTACCAAAACCCTATCTCCAACTTCTAATTTTTCAAAACGGACCTGCCTGTCATAACCTTGTTTATACCTTACATTGTTTCTACCAATGTTACCTCTGGCCATCTTGTATGCATAGTTTAGTCTTTTCTTCAGCTTCTGTGCATAATTCTCCCTACTTCTGGTCTTTTGTGGTGTTTCTTCCAATCCAAGATATGCATCGATCGCTAATCTAGGGTTCCACCCAAACATCAGGTAATGAGGCGAAAATCCCGTTGTCTCGTGCTTTGTTGAGTTGTAGGCGTTGACTAAAGGTAAAACATAAGTTTTCCAATCGTGCTTCTGTTCACTGTCTAACGTCCCTAACATCTTCAGCAATGTCTGGTTGAACCTTTCAACTTGCCCATTTCCCATAGGGTGGTATGGAGTTGTTCTGCTCTTCTTTACTCCAGCAATCTTACAGAGTTCCTTGATAACTGAACTTTCAAAGTTCCTACCCTGGTCTGAATGTATACGCTCAGGGAAACTGTAATGGCAGATGAAATGTTCGTAAAGTACTTTAGCCGTAGTAGATGCTAATTGGTTCCTGGTCGGAACAGCCACTGCATACCTCGTAAAGTGGTCAGTAATGACTAGTATGTTCTCATACCCACCTTTAGATTTCTCAAGAGTCAGAAAGTCCATACAAACCAGTTCCATAGGTCTTGATGTAAAAATGGAAACCAATCCTGTCCTTGGTACTTCTCTCGTCTTAAACCTCATACACCTGTCACAGTTCTCTACCTTTTCCACTACATCTGTATACATGTTTGGCCAGTAGAATCTCTGCTGTACCAACCAGTACGTTCGGTCTCGTCCTTGGTGACCCATATCCTCATGAAGTCCTATGAGTACACTGTCTTTATACTTACTTGGTAAAACTAACTGACGTATCTCCTCTCCAGCAACAGTAGTTTTTCTAAACAAGATTCCTCTTTCAATCACCAGTTGCTTCCATTCCCTTAAGAGTAACTTGACTGAATTTGATTCCTCTTGTAGGTCTTTTCCAGTTGGTTTGATTCCTCTTTGAAGTAGATCCTTGACCCTACTTATAACAGAATCGTTACCTTGTTCCAGTTCCCAATTCACAGTGCTTAGTTTCTGTGATGTCTCAGCTCTCTCAGCATTTTCAGGCTCTAGTGACTTACCAATAACACAACTCTCTGCTAGGGGATTTACCTTTACCAATGCTGCCTGAGAAATAGCTTTAACCACATCTGAAAACAGTTCTTGTTTAGGGGGATTTCTTGATAACCCATCAGCGTCTCTGTTGAGCTTACCTGATCTGTACATTATCTTAAAATCATATGCTGACAATGATGCTAACCATCGATGTGATGTTGCGTCAAGTTTGGCTGTTGTGGTGACATACGTAAGAGGATTATTGTCTGTCCTTACATCAAAATGATTGCCATACAAATAATCATGATATTTATCTACAACAGCCCATTTCAAACACAGAAATTCAAGCTTATGTGCTGGATAATGTTTCTCAGATTGCCGTAAACCCCTACTTGCATATGCAATAACACGCTCCTTACCATCCTGCTCTTGATACAGAACTGCCCCTAAACCATTAACACTTGCATCTATGTTCAAAATAAATGGCTTAGAGAAATTGGCAAAAGCAAGAATAGGAGGATGTGTAAGCTTCTGAATAATGAGTTCAAAAGATTGTTGTTCTGACTCACCCCATTTCCACTCAGCTTTCTTTCTCTTTCTGTTTTTCTTTGCTGCTTTGTTGGTAGGTTGTCCAATCAGCAGATCATTCAAGGGCTTTACAATCCTTGCGTAGTCTTTAATGAATCTGCGATAATACCCTGTAAACCCTAAGAAAGATCTTAATGACTTTACATTACATGGAACAGGCCAATTTTCTAAAGCTGATGTTTTCTCTGGATCAGTCATAATCCCTTTCTCAGAAACTACATGACCCAAATAGCGAACTTGACTTTTGAAGAATTCACATTTCTTTGGATTCAATTTTAACTTGTAGTCATGCAATCTCTGAAAAACTGATTCCAACCTCACCAGATGTTCCTGAAATGTACTCGAGAAAATTAGAATATCATCGAGAAAAAGTAAACATTCTTTTAGGTTCATATCACCCATACACATTTCCATTAGTCTTTGGAATGTCGCAGGAGCGTTGGTGAGACCAAACGGCATCCTGTTACATTCAAAGAACCCTAATGGTCCTACCGTAAAGGCTGTCTTTTTCTTGTCTTCCTCACGAATCTCGACCTGCCAGTAGCCGGACTTTAAATCTAATTTACTGAAATACCTTGATCCGTCCAATCTATCTAAAGTGTCCTCTATTCTGGGTAGAGTATACGCATCCTTGATAGTCCTGTTGTTAAGCTTCCTCAGGTCTATACAAAATCTCAAGGATCCGTCTGACTTTCTACATAGAACCACGTTAGAACAGTAGGGACTGCTCGACTTCCTGATGGCCCCTGCCTCCAACATCTCTTTCAACGTCTGCCTAACTTCTTCAATCATACCAGGGGGAATGCGTCTGTATGGTTCCTTGAAAGGTATTTCTGTGGTTAGGTTTATCTCATGTTTGACCACATCTGTCCTCCCTAGGTCTGTAGGAGATGTAGAGAATAAGTGTTGCCATTTTCCAATAGTATGCAAAGCTTCTCTTACCTCCCCCTTAGAGAGTTTGTCAGTGTTGACCTTCATCCCTAAATCTGCTAATGATCTGGTAGTGGAATCCTTCTTCTTGACTGGTTTGGTCTCTGCATGTTGTGGATTCCAGGTGTCTACTACTCTTACCTGACTCACACTACAGATGTTCGTCTTGGGTGGTATCTTAACAGCACTAGCCGAGATATTACATACCTTAACTGTGACCCTTTTGTTTTTTCCTGTACTACTGGACGCTACCAGTCGAGGGCATACTACCACTCCTGCCTGACTGTTCTCCAGCTGTTCTGTTATTAAAGTCTTCACTGTCCCTTCCATGTTTCTTACCATTCCTCTAATGTATTTCACTTCATTGGGAGCTAAATGTATAGGATATTTATTAGTTGTCTTAACAGGTACACAGCAATTAACACACATAGTGTTAATAGCCGTTTGCCATGCTTCTTCACACTCACCTGTAAAATCTACACAAAGTCTAATAACATTTGTCCCAATAATAACCGGAACTCTACTATTGAAGCTTGAATCCCGAGTTATCAATGCTGGAATAAATAATGCTTCTTGCATGAATGGAACTTCAATTTCTGCTTCTACATAACCCAAATAGGGCAAACTGTCCCCATTTGCACCATAAACATCTAATTTAAATTCAGATATTTCATGTAGACTTGGTTTGTTCTCCAGAGAATTATAAAATGACTCTGAAATGGTTGTAACCATCGAACCACTATCTATCAGACTTGAAACCTCCTTCCCACAAATTTTGACATATGCTTCATTTGTTGGACCTATCATCCTATCCTGTAACTCTTTAGGGCATAAATCAGTACTCTCTTCCGTTCGCCCCACAACAGAAGAGATTACTCTTTTGGGTAACCTTGATTTGATTGATCTGTGTACTTACCCCTGTTAGACCAACCTCTACCTCTACTTTGTCCTCTGTAAAATCTTCTTTGTGAGGACCTTCCTCTCCCCACAAACTGAAAATTGTTTACATTACCTTGTTTCTTTTCCAAGTTTTCCAGTCTTCTCTCAATACCTTTAATCGCTTTGAGAAGTTCTTGATTTGTTGTATCTCTGCTAGCTTCTATTGATCTGCTATGGAGAGCTGCAGACTTGGCATCTTTGTTCACAGTCTCCATGTTGATCTCTTCTTGCTCTACTTTCCTGATTTCTCTGAGCAAAACCTGAAATTCTGTTATATTTGCGTAGATATATCTAGTAGAATTTCTTAATGACTTACTTCTCAATCCAGTCCAAAATTTACTACATAGCATTGTATCTTTTGCAATGTCATCTATGTGGCCCTGTTTGATTGCTTTACATAGCGTAGATTCTAACCTAGAACCGAAAGCCACAATACTCTCATTCTCTTTCTGACAGTCATTATAGAACTGTTGCATTAGAGTTTCACTACTACTTACCATTCCATAAAACCCTTCTAATTTCTCCAAAATTTGACTCGTTGTAGCTGATTCACCGAGTGAAATCAGCATTGACCTTGCAGTTCCCTTGAGGGAATTTCTAATTGTCTGAAGTAATACAGCATCAGGCAACACCTGTGAATTTCTAAGGCACCTTACCTCAAAACTCCAGACTTCATAGGTCACTTCCCCTTTTTGAAGTTCCTCACTGCCACTAAATGTCGGAAGCTTTGGAGTCGTATTGAAATTACTCTGCAAAGTTGACATATTGAATGAGGGGTTTAATGCAGGTTGAAATTTACCTGGTATTGGAGAACTTGGAAATGGAAAACCTTTTCCTGGACCTGTCAGAGGTGTACTGGCCTTCATAGCCATTAAATACTCATACTCTTCCTTTGTGATGACCTTATATTTTGGGTCAATCTTACCTACATCATGTATGAGCTTTTCTTGATCTTTTTCGCCCTTTTCAATCTCTTCTTCCCAGGACTCATGATCTGATGCTTTCTCTCCACCTGTAGCCATTGTTATAATAAACACTGTTGTGACTAGAAAAGTAAAGTAGATCTTCATAGATTATACAATCAAGTTCAATGTAATAAACCCTGTAAAAAAAAATAATCTACAAAGTTATATCTCAAACTAATGATCAATACCACTACATTTTTCTAACAGTGTCACTTACACTTCAAGTATCAGTATAACTTTCCACGAATCCTGTAATTCTCTAGATAAAATTCGAGCCTAAATTCTCTAAATCTTGCTCTAAATAACTACACTAATAAATCTTAAATCTACATCTATAATAATGATGGTGTATGAAATAATGAGTTTGATGAATCCTGAAACACAAAGATGATCAACACAAAGATGACACTCAACACAACCTCCAGAACGCAAAACCTGTCAACACTGAAACTTGTAAATTTAAACCAAATTGATTATTCTGAAACAAAAATAGAGTAAAGCTCTGTCTCACAAATATTTCTCTCTGCTTTTTCACACCAATTTAATACCAAGTGCAAATAAAATGTTAGTAGAGAAGATAAGTCTCTGTACTATGTCTTACTATAAATCCAGCTACTTCCCTTTACTTTTTTTTCTCAATTATTTAGGAGTTTTAAACTTTTGAGGCTGTTTAACACACTCTCAATCGCTATACTGACTCACATGAATGAATTATGCAATCAAATGACAAATGAAACAAATATTACATAAAAAACAACAATAATCTACAAAGTGAAAGTAGAAATGTTTAAAAATAGAACATCTGACACACACAGTCAACTGCAGTCAAAATAGAAAAGTCCACCACGATTTCCAGATTGTCCAAGAATAGGCCGCGTCTATCCGTTTATAGGAATCGTTCAGCACACACAGTTCTTGGCAAGAATGTTAATTAAATGGATAATCCACCAAAACATCGCTCGTCTCGGCCACATGAGGTATCCATGAATAGTTGTGACGTCACACTGCTTACTCGAAGCGCTCGGTGTAAAAGTAGTCCCTGTGTAGCTCGTAACTGCCGACACGGGTGTTCAGTGTTTCCAGCGCTGAATTTCTCAGGATTGAATGGATATCACATAGAGCTCTGTTTCATATATGCACACTGAAGATAAATTTTCACAAATTTTCATAACACAAAAGCACTTCACTTGTTCTCTGAAAACCGCTTACTTGTTTGTAGAAATGGCCTGGTCACCTTTAATAGTTCAAAGACGTTCTTCTTAGGATTCAGCCTGGTTCCTAAGTTAAACCAGCGTTGGGCGCCATTGTCACGGGTCTCCCAATCTCAGGGAATAATAATAATTCAACACAGTTCCTCAATAAAGGTTCATATATTTATTGGATGACAATTTGCAGGAACGATGATAAATGAAGTAATGAAGTACAAACGAACGTACGAATGAAGGTGACCTGCAATGAAAATGACACACTCGTACAAATTCACACACACTAATATTTATTTAATTTCAATAGTTTAAAATAAGAATAAGACTTAGTATTAATTTACTCTTACCAGTTACACCATGGTACTAAGGTTCCGTAAGGAATTTCTTAGGTAAACTGCTATATAACATAGATTTCTCGCAGGAGAACATCTATAATGTATCGTCAAGATTAAAAAGGAATAGTCCGTGCATAAGTATATATACCAGGACTCATACATGCGTACATAGCTACCACACCCCATACATACTGGTTTTACAACTCACACCTAGGATAAAAATAAACCACAAGACAATCACGTGACAACCAAACACTCACGTGACACGGAACACCGGACAAACCAGAATACAATACAAACACGATGACAATGAATGACCAGGTATGAATGAATGAATGAAGGAATTTACTACAGCTATCTATTATACTGACTTACTATACCAGCTGTACTAAATAATTATACTAAATAAAATAAAAACAAGTAATTGTCACCCTGTGACAGTTCTATTTAAGAATTAGACAAGAAATACAAGTTTGAAGCATTTATTTTTCTTTTCTTGAGTAGCATCTTCATCATTGGACAGAATTACAGATCTTCATTCACTTAGCAAGTACCTCAAAGAACATGATGAAAAAGAGTTTATCAAAGCAGCCATCAGTAAGCTAAAACCTTAAGTAATACTGAATAATTATGCATAAAGATTAAGAAAAAAAGTAGTTAGATGTATTTGCTTTTTGCTAAAACCTATTAGCAGTTGAAACCTCTGATCAGCTAAAACCTATTAAGAGTTGAAACCTCTGATCAGCTAATCAAGAAATTTTTTTACAAAAAAATTTTTGATTTTATTTTACATTTTTATTTTTTTTTAGGTTCACCAGAGAATTCTGGTGGCTCTTCCTTCTGGAATTATGGACGGTCGGCCATGGACTATACCCACGTACTTAAAAAGTATGTCTACCAGCTGGCCAGTCGCTCCTCCCACTCCTCAGCCACGCCCAATGTCGACAACGACCAATCAAACTCCTTCAGTGGGGATGATGTAAGTTATTGATTTGATTTGAACACATTTTATTAAGTTATAACATATAAACGGATTGGGTAGCAATTATATCCTTTATGACCCCTCTCCACAATGCACAGTGAAAGTTATTGTAGGAATCATCAATAATTGGATAATAATTATTGAATATGAAAAGATGCTGATAATAATATTCATTCTTGTGATTGGTTGGTTGTCAGTCCCTACCATAAATATGATATTTTCGAAAAAATAGCATCTTTATACTGGGCAGTTATATGTGTCTTGTCATGGTTGCACATCATTTGGAGGCTTAAGATTTGATCGTTTTCATTTTAGTTTTAATGCATGAACACAACTTGGATTTTTTTTATTTTCAAAATAAATGACACAAGTTAGATTTGTTTTGCAAATTTCAAAAGTTTAATGTATAAACAAAAGTATTTGTACTGTTAAAAAAAAATCAACTTCAGCATTTCAGACATTGCTTTTATATTGACTTTTCCAAACTATCACAGATATTTTGGATTGAGTGCGGTTTTTTTGTGTAATGTATATTATTTACATGTAGGTGTGGAGTAAAAGAGGAGTGACAGAAGATGACCTCTTTCTGTGGACAGAGAGATTGAGAAAGGTAGGAGTTATTGTTCTTGTTAAGACAAGGGATCTTAGTTCATACCGTTTAAAATATATTTGTACCAATAGTGGCCCCCTTAACTTTGAATTAGCGAATAGATAAAGTTGTTTTATGTTGTGTATATACTTAAATTGTGAACTTGTTTTTTTTAACGTCTTTTTTTTGGGGGGGGGGGGTGGGTAATACTAGTTTAATAATAGGGTATTAAACACTGATTTTGATTGTATATCATAATATGTATTGCTGATACATATTTTTTTCTTATGAATTTAGTGGATATGCCAGACCATTGTAGCTCCTTTAAGGAAAGAAATAGAGGAAGTAAATGCTGGTTTGCGGAGAATTGGATCCGAGGACACAGAAATAGGGGGTAGGGTTTCTAATGTGTAATGTTGTACATTGTAGATGATAAAGACTTCACTTATGGAGGGGTTGGAGGTCCTACAATATATATGCCTCAACAGGGTTCGACACTAACGGTAGCCCGCTGGCCCGGGACAACTGAATATTGAGGTTGGGCTACCAAACATGCCTTTAAACTTGCCCTGCAGGGCTACTAAGAATTTTACTAAATACTCATTCAAAGCAACAAAAATATTTATCAATTACACACAATGTATCTAATAATTATCAAATCTATTTTCAAACGTTTATAATTATTTTTTTTGTATGTCAAAATTGTAAAATTTAAAGGTGATTCGAAATACCCAAAATGATTATATATGTGGACTTTTTTGAATAGAAGAATGTCTAAGGTACAGTCATAGAGTGGCATATAATTTCTACCCAAAATACAGCCAGAATGCAGGATTTGGCATCTCTATTTTCAAAATTTTCCGGGGGAAGCCCCCCGTACCCCCACCAGCAGGAGGGGAAAACCCCTCCCGCACCTACCCCCCTCGTCGCTTCGCGACTCGGCCACCAGCCTTCGGCTGCTGGACAACTAATACATGAACAGGGCTAGTAGAAATTCAAAATGGTTAGCCCTGCTGACAACTATGGTTTAAAAGTTAGTGTCGATCCCTGCTCAAGTTAGAATAATCTAACTGTGTCTCGGTACAAGCCCTCGCCACAGTTAGAATACCTCCCATAGACTCACAATGTAGCAAAAATTGAAGAATCGCTCCGAAACGATTTGGAAGGACATAAAAAAATTTGCACTCAAAATAACTGCCAAATTAATTGTAACAAACCTTTTTGAGGTTGCATATGCATTTAAACCTAAAATACAAACAAAATAAAGACAAGAATTCAACCAATTTTCTCAACGTCTTTTTTTCGCTTCGAATTTACGCGCCATGTTTGCATTCAGAACTCTCTAGATTGTTCTTAGTAAATGCGCAGAGTACGAGTTATTGCCCGTGTTTCTTTTGCTACAGCTACACGGAACGAATTCTATCGTTAAACCGGGTCCGTAGGACATTTATCATTTAAACGATAGAACATTCTATCTACCGGTAATATGCTTCTAGTAGCTACTGTAAACCAAATTTTATCCGTTCCATCCTTTATTCAGGATTCACAAATTGAAATCAATCTGCAACAAATAATTTTTGTGACTGAGGAAATATTCTTTACAACAAATACATGTACAAAGCAAAATGAATGGTTCACAACAATTAATATTTGCGAGCTAAAATATGTCATGAAACTCACAGATATTTAAGAAGAAAAATAGTTGGTTTGCAATATTTAGATTCAATATACACATCATTAAATGGGATAGGAATAAAATTGTTATTCTAACGATTTTACGTAAAAGAGTCATTTAGCGATAATAAGTATTCAAAAAAATAAGGAATGTACCGTAATTAAAGACAAAATTCCGATTTTATGATTGATGCATCACATATCTTTCTGATCTTAACCATTTACAGAAGTTGGAGTTTCCACTCTAAAGCAGCTGGCTTTGACTAAAGGTCCTTATGTGCCAACATTAAATGCAGTTGTTCCATATCTGGACTTCTCATCAAATCAGGAATATCTAGTCAAAAGAATAAAAGGTGATGTATACATAAGTATTTATTTTTATTAGTGTTTACATGGCAAGAAATTTACTCATTAAGAATTCTTACTCAGGAACAAATTTACTCTTTGTGCAATAGTTAATTTTCTACTGTATAAGTAGAATTTTTAGCAAGGATGTAATTTTGGCATTAGTAGCGAGGGTGCTGACATCGCTAAAATTGAATATAGCTAAAAATTAATTGTGTATTATTTGTAATATCTTCTTTAGTTAGCATTTTAAATTGCTAAAATTACTTCACCTTGAAAAAATAAAATACCAGTTCTTAGGTAGAAATCGCTAAATTTGCGTCTTGCTAAAATTTCCACTTATACAGTATGTGTTCTTCTTTGATTTATATACTGTGATATTTCTTTTAAAATAATATTTGCTCATACAACAAGGAGTTTAAATATATTTTATGACCAAATCTACAATAGGGCATATCAATTAATGCAATTGTTGTATTTTCCTTGTAGACCTAGGTAAAGATGGCTGTATGAGTGAGTTTTGCTGGAACTCGGGAGGAGACTATGGGAAAGAATGGGGAGAGCACCTGCCAACAGACGCTGCGGTAAATACCCCCCCCCATATAACATTTTATTTGCTAGAACTGGATAACATGTACAGAGTCCAGGGGCCCCTTTTACAGAGTAACTTACGACTAAGACCAAAAACTTCAGATTGTTGTAATATTTTGCAAAATTAATATTTCTCTTTGAAATTGTTTGTGTAAAAATATCATACCACATTCCTTTTAAAAAGTTTAAAATAATTTTCGATATAATATACCAAAATTCTTGAAAAAAAATTGTCAAGCGAATATTTTTTTCCATGATTTTTGTTCATGTTTTAATATATATGTAGCTCTCAACTCGTGTAAACTATTTCATGTGACTGAAAGCCATGTCCCTATTTATATACACTACGTTCAATTTGAAAAAAAAAGAAGAAAAAATATTTGTCAAAGGGTTACCCTAATTTTACGTTTATTTATATCTCCATGTTTCTTGAACTGCAAGTGTTGTACAATACTAAGACAATTTAAAGATCTTGAACTGCAAGTGTGATACAACACTAAGACAATTTAGTCATTAAGAACTGCAAGTGTGGTACAACACTAAGACAATTTAGTCATCTTGAACTGCAAGTGTGGTACAACACTAAGACAATCTAGTTTCTTGAGCTTCTCTGTATATTTTATTTAAAAAAAAGATAACTTGAAAATTCTGTTTTCAGGTGGTTATGCATTTGTTCTGTACATACATGGACTCTCGTCTTCCAGCACAACCCAAATATCCTGATGGAAAAACATTCACTTCACAACACTTCATTAAAACTCCTGACGAACCTAGTAAGAACACATGATTCTTTACAAGGTTTTTTCCCTTTTTAGGTCACCTGAGTAAACTCGGGTGACCTATTGCTATCCGTTTTCGTCCGTCGTCGTCCGTCGTGCGTTAACATTTGAACATTTTCAGCTTCTTCTCTGAAACCACCAAACCAATTTCAACCAAATTTGGCATATAACATCTATGGATGAAGGGGAACAAAAATTGTGAATTTCATGGTCCCTGCCCCCCTGGGGCCTGGGGGGTGGGGCAAAAACCACTAAAATTAGTGCAATCTTTAAAAATCTTCTTCTTTACTCCTGGACATCAAGCAGTCAAACTGTTGGTATGATTGTAATCAGCATTGAGTACTCTACCAAAATTGTGAAATTCATGGCCCCAGGGTCAGGGGTTCTGGTGTTAGGGTGGGGCTAAATAAGTATATAGTGAAAATGCATTATTTCTTTGAAAATCTTCTTCTCTGTTCCTGAGTATTAAATAAAGTAATTAAGTACATAGTTATGATGAGCAAGAGTGCCTCTACCAAAATTGTGAATTTTATGGCCCCAGGGTCAGGGGTTCTGGTGTTCGGGTGGGGTTCTATTGATTATATAGTGAAAATGCATTAAATCTTTGAAAATCTTCTTCTATGCTCCTAGGTATTAAATAAACTAATTAAGTGCATAGTTATGATGAGCAAGAGTGCCTCTACCTAAATTGTGAATTTTATGGCCCCAGGATCAGGGGTTCTGGTGTTAGGGCAGGGCTCTATTGATTTTATAGTGAAAATGCATTATTTCTTTGAAAATCTTCTTCTCTGTTCCTGAGTATGAAATAAACTAATTAAGTACATAGTTATGATGAGCAAGAGTGCCTCTACCAAAATTGTGAATATTATGGCTTCAGGGTCAGGGGTTCTGGTGTTAGGGTGGGGTTCTGTTGATTATATAGTGAAAATGCATTAAATCTTTGAAAATCTTCTTCTCTGCTCTTAGGTATTAAATAAACTAACTAAGTGCATAGTTATGATGAGCAAGAGTGCCTCTACCAAAATTGTGAATTTTATGGCCCCAGGGTCAGGGGTTCTGGTGTTAGGGCGGGGCTCTATTGATTATATAGTGAAAATGCATTCATTCTTTGAAAAGTCTTTTCTCTACTCCTAGGTATTAAATAAACTAATTAAGGACATAATTATGATGAGTAAGAATGCTTCTACCAAAATTGTGAATTTTATGACCCCATGGTCAGGGATTATGGTGTTAGGGTGTGGCTCTATCATGATTATATGGTGATAATACATTACATCTATGAAAATCATTTTCTCTACTCCCGGGTAATAAGCAGATGAACTATTTATATAGTTATGATGTGCAAGGGCTCTTCTTCCAGAATTGTGAATTTCAAGGCCCCTGGGTCAGGGATACCAAAGGGGGGGGGGCTATACTTCTATGTACTGAAAATGAATTGTTTGAAATCTGCTTCTTGGTATTAATTGAACGTTTTAAATAAGCAAGTGTGCCTTTTCAAAAATTGTGCAATGTGTAGACCTAGGGTCAGGGGTTCATATGTGATAAGGGCACTCCTGATTATTGCTGAATATTACTGATTAGTTGACATGCTTTTTTGTTACCCTACCCTGCTTATGGGTATTAAGTAAACAAACTTAACAATTGCTAAGTGTATAGTTATGATTAGCAATGGAGCCTCTTTCAAAATTGTGAATGTCATAGCATCTAGCTTAAAACATGAACCAAATTCAATCATTTGAAAGTTGTTGCATGATGCTCAGGTGACCTATAAGGCCCATGGGCCTCTTGTTTATACTTGGATTTCTCCATATATGGTGCTGCATTTGATGATATTAATCTATGATTTTTTGATATTATTATATTATATGTAATGCTTATATTTCACTGTGAACTATCCTGTATATCAGTACTTCAAATCTGAGAACTTTTACTTGTGAGGATCAAGTCAATTTTGCATTGTTATAATCATGATAATATTGTTTGTTTCTTAATTGTATATGCCCCCAGAGGGCCCTTGATTGGTGAATAAATAAATATATATAATATATATTTATATTCATCAGTAAGTTTCTTTTATTAAAACATCCATACCATATGCAATCCAACAAGAATTCAATGCTAAATTAAACATAAAATTATATTTTTGCAGCATTCATGATTACTTTAAGTAGTTTTATTTTAAAAACAATGAATAGCAGCTAATTCATCAGATATGTACTTTACATCTATATGCAGTGTAAACAAATGCATTTATATTGCCAATCGAAAATTCAGTTTTGCAAATAAAAGGTTTGCCAATTGAGAACTTTAATTTACAGTAGAAAGATTTAAAATGAAATTGTGAAAATTCTGTCAACTTGTTAAAATTCCTAATGAGACCTATGAGAAAATGTTTAATTTTCAAGATAGTTTTATGCTTTATGTGACAGTTGTGTTGTTTCACTTTGTATGATATAAAAAAAGTTTTAAATAAAAATTTGTTGACAGATTTAGACAAAGAAGACACAGTCTGTATATATCAGTCGTCCATCAACCCACCTCATTTTCAAGTTGTGTTTGGAAAGACAGTTCACAAGTTACCAAAGGTAAAACTGATTTATTTGTTAGTGTGTTGAGAATTTTTCACTCATATGGAGATGCCACCACTTGCTGGTGGAAAGCTGCAAATTTTGTCCTGTACTTTTTTACATCCATTGAGCAGTATATGGGATCATTTTCGTGCCAGCTCCTTCTGAGACACAGGACCTTGATTAATACGGTCTCATCCGAAGGACAGGTCTCCACTTCCCACAGTGAGATTCGAACCCATGGAACAAGGATCAACTCCTTACTTTGTGACTCTAGAGCAGACTCTTTAACCACTGTGCCACACTGGCAAAACTGATGTGTCACTTTACCATAAACTAATGTTACATGATATTCCTTTGAAATTGTTTATATACATGTACATAGCCACAGCTTTTACATACAATTTTTTTTCTATTATTTTGAAACAGGGAAGAAACAACATGTTTCAAGCTTTGTTGCTGTTTTTACATCACATTGACACTAAAGAACATGGAATGCTAGGGTAAGTTGTTTTATAAGAAGTGTGACTTGTTTACGACATCTGACACCAGACTGATGTATAAATATCATTCATTATATATTTTTTTTCGTTTTTTTGAAGGGGGAGGGGATGATTGTTGCCCAAAGTTTATAAGAAATGTTCAGTACATGGCTCATATCTCACATATTGTGAAAGGAAAGATAAACTTAGTTTCAGAAATGAACTGTAAATACCTGTTATTGTTTTTTATCATATAGTGATGTTCAGTCAAATCTCATCATAAAAGTATTATTTTTTACAGGCGTGTAAGTCTTGGCATGTCAGGAATCAATATAACATGGATCTTCAAATGAAGGGGCACCTAAGGGGAGGTAAAGAGGCACCTAAGGGGAGGTAAATTCCATCCTGGTCCTATCATCTCATGTTGGTTTCAAACCCAGATGTTAAACTTTGGTACCAGAGAGAAGATGCCGAAGATTGAAGAAAAATTTCATTTGACTGGCTGCTTTTTTGTTATAAAATGTATGTCAGTTGTGTCTAACAAACAGTTTAAATGTTCATTTGAAAACAAGAAAGTTTTGTGATCTTATTGAACAAACTATGCATTTCTTGTGAATTCGAAATATTGAAGGGAAATAAAACAGGAAAAAAATTTGATTTGTTTTGAAGATTGCATTACATTACAAGTGTGTGTATCAGTACATTGAAGATAGATCTGTGAAAAAATGATGCTTTCTGATCATGCATATTGATTTTTTTAAGCTCACCTATTTTACTAAAAATTTTTGGCCCTCAGTTTAAATACCAAATATGGTGTTTCAGCGCAATTATATATATACACACAGGCAATATATAGACATCAAAACAGATGGGATTATGCATCTGATATACGAATCATTGGTGCTTGAACTCTGACAAGCAAAATATGTTGGTATTTGTACTTTCCTTTTGTGTATATCATATGCATTGAAAGCAGCTGCTCATTACCTGGTAAAATCTTTTTAAAAAACAGGTTTATGCCTTAAATTAGTTTACATCTCATCAATATAAAAAGTATGAGGTAGAGGGAGCGAACGTCGAGAGACAATGGCATTGTGTAGAAGTCATGAACCAAAATGGTAACAGCGCTTGGTGGTCATATAATGTTTTTATTTGATAATAATTTGTGAATTGTCAACACATCAAGTTAAAATTTTAACATTTCATTATAAGAGGGGTGATCAAAAAGTTCGCGAACTAATCGAATAGTTTCCATAAAAGAAACAATATTTGGTTTCAGTGTTGACTATATTTTAAATTAGTCCTTTCCGATTTTTATGCACATCAACCACCTTTCTGCTCATGCGCCAATCACGTGATACAGGCGGTCACGTGACATCATCTGCAGCGTTCTTTCACAAAAGCTGAAAGATTTTTCTAAGTGTTATATTTATTTCCGTGTAAGTTAACATAATAACAAGAAAAGTTCATTAGTCAGAAATGGTCAAATCTCGGCAACAGAATGGGTGGGCAAGAATATCCTTACCAAAATTAAGCATGACGACCATCAAAACTCAAATCTTCTGTCTCAGGAGAGACTTTATTTAAGGTGGATAGAGAATGGATGTCTCCTTTTTATCATACCTAATATGTTTAAAATCTAAAGTAAACAACATGTTAGGTATTTTATAATTATATTATTGTTCAAATATTCAACTATTTTTCAAAATGTAAATTGGAAGTCATCGATAGCAAATTGCTAAATTAAAAACACATCTCTTTTCAAACTTGTATCATTTTTAAACATATATCTTCCTTCACTAAAACGATCAATCCAATCATTGAACTTATAGAAAGTCATTTGTCTTAATAAACTGTGTACAAATTATTATATGCTACTGCAAAGGGATTTCTTAGATACATGTTATAATAAATTGTACAGTCGTTTGTTGAACGTGTACGACTGAGACAACCATTTTTCGTCACAAGTGACCTACATAATGACGTCATTTTCACATTGTGACGTCACAAACAAGGAGCAAAACTTTATTCACTATATGCTATTTATATAACCTGTGTATGGCTATGTGTGTACCAATTTTCTTTCTAATCTGAATTGTGGTTTTGTAGATGTAGAGATATTTCCCGAACTTTTTGATCATCCGTCGTACTTCGCTGTTTCAAGTTCCCTATTAATTCTGTGTGCTGGGACTGCCTAGTATTAATTTTATTGCTTCCTTTATCTTTTTAATTCACCTGAGTAAACTCAGGTGACCTATTGCTATCTGTTTTCGTCCGTCGTCGTGCGTTAACATTTGAACATTTTCAGCTTCTTCTCTGCAACCACTGAACCAATTTCAACCAAATTTGACCTAAAGCATCTATGGGTGAAGGGGAACAAAAATTGTGAATTTCATGATCCCTGCCCCCCTGGGGCCTGGGGATGGGGCCAAAACCACTAAAATTAATGCAATCTTTAAAAATCTTCTTCTTTACTCATGGACATCAAGCAGTCAAACTGTTTGCATGATTGTAATTAGCAATGAGTCCTCTACCAAAATTGTGAAATTCATAGCCCTGGGGTCAGGGGTTCTAGTGCTAGGGCGGGGCTAAATAAGTAGGTAGTGAAAATGCATTATTTCTTTGAAAATCTTCTTCTCTGCTCCTGGGTATTAAATAAACCAACTAAGCACATAGTTATGATGAGCAAGAGTGCCACTACCAAAATGTGAATTTTATGGCCCCAGGGTCAGGGGTTCTGGTGTTATGGCGGGGCTCTATTGATTATATAGTGAAAATACATGAATACTTTGAAAATCTTCTCTGCTCCTGAGTATTAGATAAACTAACTAAGTGCATAGTTATGATGAGCAAGAGTGCCTCTACCAAAATTGTGAATTTTTTACGTATGTCAGCGGGTTTTTGTTTTATGGCCCCAGGGTCAGGGGTTCTGGTGTTAGGGCGGGGCTCTATTGATTTTATAGTGAAAATACATGAATTCTTTGAAAATCTTCTTTTCTGCTCCTGGGTATTAAATAAACTCAAAATGTATTTTGAGTTCATTTTTAAGCTCACATCTAAGCTTAAGGTTATTACTGTACTGAAAAAGGCTTTGGCCATCAATCTACAGAAAAATTAAGTGCATCCAAATTACATTTTTTGAAATACCAAAAAAAAAAATCATACATATTTATTTTGAACATATTTTATTGTATTTTAATTTACAAAGGGATTGGGCACTAGTTCTGAAAACTTATAACACTCTCTCCCAAACACACGATGATGTCACCAATTTTAATACCAAATATGCTGGTTCATAATTTTTATTTTTTACGTATGTCAGCGGGTTTTTATGCTCCGTTGGTTAACAGAGCATAAGAACCCGCTGGCCTTGAACATGACATTGTTATATTATGCTCTGAAAATTACAGGGTGTGTTCCCATTTCGCCTTAACTGTGAAATTCAGGTAAGAAAAATTTAAAAAGTACTAAGGCGAAATGGGAATTTTAGTATTTGTAAATATTATTCTAATTTAAATGATAAATTTTTTTTTAGATTGAATTCAGCAGTTAATTGGAATTTATGAATAAAGTGAATGAAATAGTACATGTAATATCAAGTATTTGTTTAAAAAAAATACTTTATGATAAATATATTAAATCGTCATCACCTTAATTCACCTGGGAGCTTACTAAGGCGAAATGGGAATGCTAAATTTTACAGTTAAGGCGAGATGGGAACAAACCAATTACAGCAGTTCAATCAGCAATGAATTATACATCAGATGCACCATCCCGCCCGTCGTGGTGTCTTTATATTGCCTACAATGTATATATGTTTAATCATACTGAACCACCATATTTTATATTAATATTGATGACATAAGCTGTTCATTTCATATCTGTACCAATCTTTTCAATAAAAATGCATGTTTGTTTAAAAATAAGCTTCTATGCTTCTGGATGTAAATAATACGCTCGTACATGTATTCATAAGGAAAAGGCTTAAAAATATTCCTTGCTTTTGGACATTTAGCTAAAAAACTAAAATGGTTATGTTGAGCAAAGATGCCTCCTCGAAATTATGAAATTCATAGCCACTTGTGCAGTGTATCGGGTGTCAGAGAAGGGTTTTATTGACTATTGATAGTAAAATGTATGTTTTCCTTGAAAATCTTTCTCTCCTCTAGGGTAGTTGGCAAATACTAGTAGCTTTAAAGAATATGGGGAAACGGGCAAGGTTGCTTAAGCACGTGCGCAATTATAAAATTTATGTTCCAGGGTCAAGTGTTCTGATGTGAGCATGAAACTCTCTTAATTAAATAGTGAAAAGACACAATTTCTTTGAAATTCTTCTCTGTTTCTACGAATTTGGCAATATACGAGGGCTGTTCAATAAATAATGTCATCGGTGCTCGGAAAGAAACAAAAAACGCTTTTCAGTGGTTTAGTCTTACTGATTTCACTTTAATATTCTCTTTTAATTAAGACAAGACGTGTCCATTACAGTTTTATCCAATTTCTGATTGTTTTTAAACAAATTTTTCAGTATAGTCCTTTGTATACTGGAATATGTCAGATCATATGATTTCCTGTACTTGTTTGTTTTTTTTTTCTTTCTGAAAGGTGTTTTTTCAAGTTTGGGAAATGAAACAAGTCAAAGGTTGAAAGATCTAGCGAATATTGTTGGTGTGACAAAATATTAACTTTCTGTTTAACCCCAAAACTCCTCTACTCTTCATGGCCCGTGGGTTTGGACGCTGTCATAAAGAAATTTACTGTGGTTAATTCCTGATTCTGATTCCTTCCTCTCATAAACCTTTCGATTTTTTTACAAAAATTTTGCTTTCTAGACTTGTCCAGAAACTGACCCGAATACGAATTTGAATAAGAAGACCACAAATATTTAAGAAAATAGTATATAAAACTGTTTTGTGCTCTTGCAATTCTTTGCTCTTCTCAAACCTTTGCTGTTTCTGTCAAGTGCATCTTATTTAAAATTTGTTTGGAGGGTTTAAAGCAATGGATTCAAGTTTCATTATATCTTTAAATTTCAGACAAACGTGGATAGCTACAATTTTCGATTTTTAAAAATAATTGTTTAGATATTCTTAACGCTGTCGTTTTCACTAATTTTTTCAGAACATAGGGTGACCTTTGAGTACTTAGTTTTTTTACTGTCAAATGTTTCTTTAAAACATTGTGATCTACCCCAAAAATGATACCTATCAAATTTGCTCTGTTCTTAAAGTCAATCAAATATAATCAGTGATAATTTGTTGAATTTTCGCATACAGTACATTGGTTGTTGTAAGTTCTTGCGCCAAGGACGGTACCCATTTTTATGCCCATTATATCATTTTTATGCCCCCGTAAACGAAGTTTCGGGGGTATATAGTTTTTGTCGTGTCCGTCCGTCTCTCTGTCTCTCTGTTTGTCCGCAAAAACTTTAACCTTGCCCATAACTTTTGATTTAGTCGAGCTATGACTTTCATATTTCATACGTGTATTCCTTGTGACAAGACCTTTCTTTGGGTACCACCAAATTTGACCTTTTCATGTGTGTATAAAACAGGCATTTGTTGCTGTAAATTTCTTGTGAAAAAACATACATGTACTTCAGTTATATATTTCTTTGAGGATTCATTGGAACAAGTTTTATAGACCAGTTTTAATTTTAAAGGGA